AGAGACCATTTGTGCGACGCTGTCTTCCTCCACGGGGAGTAGTATCCGGCCCAGAAACCGGGTTGTCGTCGTCGTCGCGTGTCCGGTATGCAAGAACAAGAAGTAAAGAAGGGGTATAAAGCGAAATGCCAGAAACAATACAGTCGTCGAAATGAATGCTAAAAGAGCGTTAGGGATGTATATATGTCAATGTGTAAGGGCAACATACCAGCGGATGACATCGGCTGTTCCAACCGATCTCTCACCCACATTGCGGCCAACACCAGCTCCTCCAGGGCGCACGTGAACGATCCAAGCGGTATCTCCCCATCCTATGATGAGCTTCTCAATGTTCTTCTTGTTCCCTTCCTTGGCAGGTTGGGAAGATCGGTTGTGCGGTAGTGTAGCATCGGCCTTATCCACAAGGTGGTGTCCATTCATACTCATGATAGCATCGTCGTCAGACTCAAGCGACTGGTCGTCAATCCATTCTATTCGCGGTTTCCATACGCTGGCCATATCTTGCCATACGCGGCGGTTTGGTTTTTCGATGATGCCGATTCTCTTCCAGGCATCGTCTGAATCTGCGCTGTCCAGGTGCAGGTCCGTCCGCATGAGGCGCACGCCATGTTCGTTCGCCCAGGCCACGAACTTGCCAGACAGAGACCACTTAATGGCAGTGATGGTGCCTTCGCCTGAATGCAAAATGGTGTCCCTGCCTCCATGCCCGCCGAGGCCTATTGCGCCGAGCCACCCATGTGCAGCCTGCGATGCCGCGCTGGTGTTGGCGTTGGATCGCACGCCTATGGGTCCACCAACGGTATGGATCAACTCGCCAGCCAGTCCACCAGACAAGTACGAGCGATCATTTTTGTAGTCGGGCGAGAGGGCTACGGCTTGCACTGGACGACCGAAATTGCGCAGCGTGACATCTTTTGGGTCAACGAGCGAAGACACACAGACATGTCCATCTATGGACGAGGAAGCAATGTATATCTGGTTCGAGGGCGTGGGTGGGACTTGGGCTTGGCGCGGTGCGCGAGGAGAAGAAGTATTGCCGGCTGGCGAGTCGGTTCGCCGAGAGGAAGCACTTGCCTGGTCGGCAGACCTCAGGTCCGAGGCGGAGGGCACAAAGGGCTGGGAGGCAAGCAGCGGCGATACAGAGAGAGCGGTGACCGAGGCGGCAGGGTGGGCATTATAGGTGCGCAGGATGTTGAAGGCAGGTAAGTTCAACGCGTGCTATTTGGGTCAGCATGGCGGCGCAACAAAGGCCGGGGGAGGACAGAGACTTACGATGTTTCCATTGTGTGTGCCTATAATCTGCATGGACATACAGTGTTAGCACATGGACCGCAAGATGCAATGCAATCCACACATGTTCGGTGCATGCACTGGGGGAAAGCTGGAGCTATGACCGTACCATCTTGTCTCCAGCGACCATGAAGGTGGCCGTCGCGTCACCATTGCGGTATATGGGGCCCAAGTCTCTAGTGAGGCGACTGTACTTGAGCTTGGGTTCCTCGTCGACATCGTCGTCGGCCGTGTCATCGTCGTCTTCTTCGTCGTCCGAGTCCGGCTCGATGGTCTGCTGGGGCTTTTGCAGGTGAGAGTCGTCGCGCGCCTTGGGCAGCGGAGCGTCGTCGATGTTTTCCGCCGCCATGCTGGCGACATGAGCTGCGACAGGCGGACAAGAGGCGTAGAAGACGCTCCGGGCGCGCCGAGTGTGGAGAGATGCGAGGTTGACAATGGCCCTGTCGATCTGAGCCTATGATGCTGGCCAAGCCGATTCCCGCGGACTTGCAAGGGTCTATGCTTCTCCTCCGCACTGCTCCACCCACCTTTCTGCTGGGTACATTTATGTCGGCGTGAGATGCTGAGTCTCGTCTGGGCGCTGACCTGCTGCAAGCCATGTCCGACACGCTCCTGCGCTGGCCATGACGAGCATCCGACCCTGCCACTTCCAGAGCCTGACACGATGTCTTGCTCCCGCTGCCCGTCTGCCACGTAAAACCCGGCCCACGCTGCAATTCTTGCCCATTCCCGCAAAAAGGCCGTTCGCTTCGACAACACCATGTAGCAAAAGGATAGACGCTGCGCAAAAGAGCGAGGACGCATCAAGCAAAGAGGAATTGCCCAAAGAATACCAAGACAAACCAGACCGGAAGACCAGTCGAAAAAATGCCGGAAAAACGTCGTCGCTGCGCAGCGTGGCAGTCGAAGCACAGCGGTCACGAGCTTTTATAAAATCTAGAGGAAGGACGCGCTTCATTGATCCAGATGCCCAGACCAAGACTGTGACTGCCTACTGCGCTGCAGAGACATACGATATCTCTGCCGCCGCCCGCCTCGTCAAGACCCAAGGTTACGACCTCGATCCCTTCCAGACGGGCCTGTATCCCCAGGTCATCCACGTGCAGACTTCCGATCGCCCTTCTGAGGTTAAGGACTTCCAGCAAGGCGACATCTTCATCTTCCCGTCCGGCACAGTCGTAACATGGAACGTCCGCGAACGAGAGGCTCTGAGACTCGTCAACCAAGTGCTCCCCACTGCAGCCGAAGGATCGCATCTTGACATGCTCGAAACAGAAGACCTCGAGTACCTCGAAGACCCAAGCAAGGAAACCAGCGAAGTCGTCGGCGACACCATTGTCTTGGGCACAAAAGCCGAACCCCCCTCTGACAACGCCTCGCCATCAGGAGCAGACGAGCTCGACCAACAGCGCCACGAAGTCGACACTGTCCTCGCCAAAATAGCCTTTTCTTCCGGTCTCGCCCGCAGCACCAAGCTCGCAGTCCTCGAGACCCTCTTGTCAGCATATCAGCACTCGACCCGCGACATCCCCACCATGCTCGCCTCATCCAAGACCTTATCCCCTCGTCGCAGTGCCCCCTTCACCCGCTCCTTCATCCTGCGTAAAACAGGCGAGCTACTCTCTCTGCGCGCCCAGCTAAATCTCTACTCAGAGTTAACCGACTCCATGCCCGACATTTTCTGGGACTCGCGGCACGAGCTGGGTCTAGGAGAGTACTACGACCAAGTCGGCCGCGCCCTCGACGTAGGCGTCCGCATCAAGGTGCTCAACGAGAAAATCGGGTTTGCCCAAGAAATTGCTAGTGTCCTGCGCGAGCAGTTGAGCGAGAAACACGGCTTGCGCCTCGAATGGGCCATCATCGCTCTTATCGCTGTAGAAGTTGCGCTGGAGTTTTATCGTCATTGGAATGAAGGCACAGAGAGAGATGATCCCGGTAGCACGGAGGCGTTGCTGAGAAAGTACCTCGAGGACTTGACGAAAGATGAGAGAACAAAGTCTACGCCGCAGCGGGAACAAGCATAGTAGTGATTTTGCTAAAGCAATAGATAAACAGACAAAACAAAGCATATGATACCCCACTCAAATCAACACTGATTATCCATTTCATTTTGGCTTTTTGACAAATTTCCATTGCACACAACGTGAGAGAGACAAAAAGACGTCATTAGCTTCTACCGAACCGACCGACCATAGAGCAATGCATACGCTCAAATATTTACAAAGCAAAGCTTGCCCCACTATTGGTCGTCAATGACGTGCAGATACTTCTTCTCCTCCCGCTTCTCCTTCTCGCTCATCGGCGGCAGATCGTAGTAACTCGAGCTTCGGTAGCCCTTGAGGTACTCGAACGTCATGCTCTTAAGTTCCACCGGCTCGATCTCCAGGTCCTTGAACGTTTTGGCGCTCTTATCAATCTCCTGGTCGATAAACTCGCGCTCGACCTCATCCGCAGAGTGAATGGGCCACCAGAGCAGCTTGTTCGCGTAGTGCGCAATGGGCTTGAGAATCTGCTTGGGCACGTTGACGTGACGGCGCGGCTTCATCGCCTCCTTCTCTACGAGCTCGTTCATCTCAGCCATCGAGTACTCGGTAGGGCCGTACAGTTCGTACGTCTCGGCAGCGGTTGTGTCGTCGTGAAGCATGCGCTCAAGAGCCATACCAACATCGATCACGTGAACAGGACGGAGACGCTCCTGTAGGTTGTTTGAGGTGATGATGTTGGTGGGGGAAGCAAGACGGTGAAGAAGACGATCCTCGAAACCAAACATGGGTGCGGGTCGGACAATGGTCGTCTCTGGGTAGATGGACCGGGCTACCTGCTCACCCCTGGCCTTGGTGCGGTAGAACTCCGATGGCGAATCGAGGCGGGCGCTGTGCGAAGAGACATGAACAAACCGGTCAATGTCGTACTTGGCGACGGCATCCGCGATGCGTTCTGTTCCATGAACGTGCACATCCTCGAGGTCGAAGTTCTTGGTGGGGTAGTCACGACCAATAAGGTTGTAGACAATGTCAGAGTGTCGCACGCTCTCCTCAATCGACTGAGTGTTTCGAAGATCCATTTCCAGGAAGATGACCCTGCCCAGATCTCCAGCAACCTTCAGATGGCGCTTTGCCATTTCCTCTCGGAAAGGCACTATCACCGTGCATCCTGAACGAGCTGTTCCTTCTAGTTAGCGCGACATGGCTCCTCGGTTTCCGTCTGCAGGCATCATGGCATACCCAGTCTGTTCACAATGTATCGTCCAAGGAAGCCAGTGGCTCCAAAAACAGTCGCGGTGTATCCTGAATGTGTGTGAGCGTATAGAATGCGTCTTCAGGACCGCAGCGCACCTCCGAGCGAGGACCGTCCACCGGAAACAGTCAGAATAGGCTTGCCAGTCCTACACATGTATTAGCATTTTGTATGCGCGTAGAGCAGAGGGGCATATCACACCTAGTGATCCTGACATCCGAGTTGAGTTGTTGCCGGCAAACTGAGGTGGAGAAGCTGGCTACGCGCTTGGAGGGCAATTGAGCCGACAGCGCCACTGGCGACCGAGCGCAGCGGAGTGGCAGCATGGTTGCGGCGTTCAATGGCTGCTGAGATGTCGAATAGAACGACTTGCGAAGTAGCTGGGATGAAGGGACGTCGGTGGTGATGGGGCTTGGCGCTATGCGCTAATCATAGCTTCCGCCGCAACGCCATCAGAGCATCGGCATCCCGCACTCAAACATACACGCCGCTCTTGTGTTCCACCTCAACACCAACACCGCCACTACCTTTTGATCGGTCAGCCACAGCCTCTCCCCATAACATAACTGTAGACTGTCCACAATCATGGCTATGGATACAGATGCCATCCCGAACCTTCTGGGCGACGCGCGGGACGAGGCACCGGAGGAGCTACAGGAGTACTTCATCGCTTTTGAGGACTTTTGGGAGCGGAAGCTATGGCACGAACTGACAGATAAGCTTATCGAGTTCTTCGATCATTCCGGGAGTGCAAAACAGCGGATACCCTTCTTTGAAAACTTCATCAAAACATTCGCCAACAAGATCAACCAGCTCAAGCTCGTTACCTTGGGTTTGAATGCTGCATCACAATACCAGGGTAGGTAGAAACAGTCTGGGGCCAATGAATTGCCAGCGCTGACTTGAATAGATGACAAGGAGCGCCTCGCATTTGTCAACGAACTGGCAAAGAGCGTCAACAAGCCAGCCTCACAAGACGCATACGTATACGCCACAGTCGCTGCTGCCAGCATACAGCTACGGTTACGGGACGAGGAGGGTGCGAAGAAGAAGCTCGACGAGTGTGAGCAGATAATCGACCAGTTCGACTCAGTGGAGACTGTTGTCCATGCCTCGTTCTACCGTGCAAGCGCCGAGTACTACAAGTCGAAGCATGAGTTCGCCGCATACTATAAGAACGCATTGCTTTTCCTTGCCTGTGTCGACCTCAACGACCTCGAACTCCGCGAGCGCCAGTCCCGCGCATACGATCTCAGCATTGCTGCGCTTGTCTCCGACTCCATCTACAACTTCGGAGAATTGCTGCTGCATCCTATTCTCGACTCACTGGTCAACACCCCACATGCATGGCTGCGCGATCTTTTGTTCGCCTTCAACCGGGGCGACCTAATGGCCTACGATGTCCTCTCGAACAACATTACAAAGGTTCCGCTTCTCAAGGAGCACCAGACCTTTCTCTACCAGAAGATCTCTCTCTCCGCTCTTACAGAGACCGTCTTCCGCCGCCCACCACACGACCGCGCCATGACATTTTCCGAGATCTCCCAAGAGACCAAGGTACAGCCAAACGAGATTGAGCATTTGATCATGAAGGCGCTGAGCTTGGGCTTGTTGAAGGGTCAGATTGACCAGGTAGCAGAGATTGCGCGCATCAACTGGGTACAACCAAAGGTGCTGGACATGAAGCAGATTGAGGGTATGAGGACACGGCTTAAGGAGTGGGATGCCAGCGTCAACCAGCTAGGCAACTGGATCGAGGGTGTAGGCAAAGACGTCTGGGCTGCTTGAGCGGGGCATGATCCCAGCTTGTCACGCCCATCTTATATCTTACTGGAAAAAGAAGGGGACAGTCTCCAGTCCACTGAGGTATGCCACCTCGTAGCTGCAAACGAGACTCACTGTGTAATCATAGATAATCGGCGTCATAGTCTGACACGATTGACGAATGAAAGGACTCATCATGACACGAATACTGTATCTTTTGTTGACTCCACCATCTTTGTGACGATTTACCTAGACCTTCTCGGTCATAACGTACTATACAAATGCCCCTTCTATCTTTTGAACCTCCCAGCGTACACAGTTCTAATAATCCCACATACCCGTTGCAACAACAACCGCACCCACCAACCACGCGGGGAACCAAACCAACCAAAACACAACCTGAGTCCACATACCCCAAACATGCCACCCAATCGCACTCTGCACCAGCACCTCCATTAAATCCGCACCGAGGAGCCTCGTCCCCGTCTGCACAATCAAACAAGGATTCAATAGCGCAAGAAGCAGCAGCTGCGCACCCGTAATCCCGTTATGCGCGCTCTTGCGCACAAAACTAAGCGGCACACACGCCACACCGACGATAACGCTGAGCGAGAAATTCAGCGTCGCAAGCGCAGCGAGGAACATGCCTAGCAATAGCAAAGAAAAGCATTGCAGGAGACACAGAGCCTGGGGGTTGAGGATGTCGGGAGCGGACCAGGAGACGAGGAAAGTGGCGGCTATAGGTAGGAGGGTGCTGATGTTGCATGCTGTGATGAAGAGGCCGGGGAGTTGATCTGCGTCCCAGTTGCTGAAGAGGTAGAGGGGAACGAGGCCGGTTGCGTGGGCGGTTAGGACGAGGACGAGGGGGAGGAGGAGGTGGCGTTCTGTTACTTTTGTTGCAGCGGCGGGGATGACAGCGAGGGAGCCGTCTTGTTTGATGAGTTTTGTGGCGGGTTCTTCCTTCTTGGGTTCTTCCTTCTTGGGTTCTTCCTTTTCTTCCTTTTCTTCCCACTTGAGATCTTCCTTGTCTGGTTTGTCCGTTCCAGAGGAGTCCTTTTCAGCCGAGCCCGACGTGGAATCAGCTGGTTTAGGCTTTGTAGCTTTAGGCTTTGTAGCTGCGGGGTTTTCAAGGGACTCTGGAACCCGTCCACTCTTGACCCAGAGTGCCATTGCGGCGATGCTAAAGTTGATAGCAATCATCATGGCAGATGGCAGGTATGTGCCGATACTAACGAACCGCTTGTCCTGCAACAAGAGGTAGAAGAAGAAACTCTGGTGGAAATGCTCGAGAAGATTGTTCAAGCTTCGGAACAGAGATTCAATCGTCTTTCCAAGCGACATCTCGTCATGCCAGCCGTTTCCGACTGTCACCAGCGTAATGGCATCGACGTGGTACGGAATGAATGAGGAATGAGGTCCCGTTGCGTGACCCAGACCCTGTGAGAGCATACCTCGAAGCATAGTCTGCAGACGCTCCTTGTAGGAATCGCCGTGGTTCCACATGCGTTGAATAACACAGCCAATGCCTAGTTGACCGGATGCAATCTGAACCGCAGTATTGATCAAATCGAGATTTGGAAGCTGACCGTTGATGCCATCGTACACGACATGTAGCTTATCATAGCGGTGGCCCCATGGCCCAGCGGGATAATCGACCGCAACAGCTCCCTGCAATGCCCCACTCTTGATCTTCAAACTCTCTACATATCGCTTGTCGTGTCCTTCGTGGTACGCATCGACCCAGGCCTGAGATCCAATCGTGCTATCTCCAGTAACAAGGAAGATGATGTCCTTGCTCCATAGGCTCCAGCGCTTGAAGTAGCGTGCGAGAGTGAGAACCAGTGCGACGCCCGAGTTGTTCATCTCGCCGTCCATGTTTGTCCAGGCTCCGATCAGCACAATGGCTTCGGTAGCGTCGGCGCGGGGTCCTTGGAGTATGGCATAGACATTTTCGTTTGCGATGGTGCGGTTCGAGACGGTATAGTTGTAGTGCTGTGTCGCAACCTTGAGATTTTGTTCGCGGAAGATGGCCTCGAGCTTCTGGGATCGCCTATGGTACAGTCAGCTTCCTTGGTCTGCGTGTTGGGGCGAATTGACCTACTCTGCCGCTGGCCTGTCTTTCAAGGCGTGGACCTCATGGCGATAGGCGCGGAAGACGTTGTGCTCACTGCCAGTAAAGTACGTATGTACCTGTCCCGGAAGCAGCGCATTCTCCGATATATATGTCCTCCGTGAGTACTCGTTCAGCGGAAGTACCAGCAGCCATCCTATGCCGACAATGACTAGGAGAGCAGAAAGATAGGGCGGTATCTTTAGCAGGCGTTTGTCTTGCCGGAGCGCCAGTAACGATGCTTTACTTGTTAACAATGACCCCTCTTATTTGATACGAATCGCCGCGCTTACAGAGCAATGCCATTGTGGCGCCTTGATCTGCACCTCGTGTGAGAAAGCAGGAGAAAGAATAGGAGTCGTGTCCTCCTGTTGGCCCAGCATTCCAAGGCAATCCGTCTGGGAAGGTGGTCCAGTCGACCGCGGCGGGAGGATCACACTAGTGCAACGCGGGCCTGGACCCTAGTCTCGTACTTGTCTTGTGTCCGCTCGTCTTCCCGCGCAGTAGCAGCAGTAGCATCAGCAGCAGCAACAACGCGCTCCGATCATGCCTGCGCCTTCGCTGCCCCAGTTCAACCCCGCGCGCATACGCTCCTACATCCTGCGCCTGCCCTTTTGCACAAAGGTCGTCGTCGCCGCCATTGTCGGATTATGGATCGCTACCATTCCATTTCCCTGGATTCGGGACGTTGGGCGCTTGGAACCTGCCAAGATGGATTTTACGCAGAGTATGTGCTTTTCTCGATTCCCGGGCAGAGAATGTGTAGGGCTTGGTCGCTTGCACTTTGGTGGCGGATTGCGGCGCTTCCGGAAGCCCGTCGGTTGCGATGGAGAACTAGGAACTCGTGGGGTCTATATGCGACGATTCATCCGAAGATACAAGAGTTGGAATACGGCGCTGCCCGCCTGAAGATCAGTTCGGATGTAATGCTAATAGAATATGTGTATAGTGCACCGGCTTAACCTGTTTCCTGTCTTACACTGGAACTTCATCCATATGATCTTCAACCTCTTCGCAGTCACGCCACTGATTGAGCGCTTCGAGTCGGAATACGGAACACTTGTTACATTGGCACTGTTCACTGGGCGTAAGGAGACTAGTAGTGCTACAAGCGGGCATTGATGCTGACCACATGGCAGCTTTTGGAACCATACCCGGAGGCGTATACACATTGTTGGAGAAGTTCGTTCTGAGAAGCAACACCGCCGTCATGGGTGCGAGGTATGTGGATCAAATTATACAGGACTAGAGTATAATACTAACACAACACAGTGTATGGGTATTCCTCCTCCTTTCAGCCGAAGTAATGAAGACACAAAAGACAAATCCCTTCTTCAGGTACCTTCCCCTCCAATCTCCCGCCCCCAACCACTAACCCCGAGCAGTGTCGGACCTTACAAGATCCCCACCTGGACAACCCCCCTCATCCTCATCGTCATAACCAGCATCCTCGTCCCCTACGTCAGCCTAGTCGGCCACCTCTGCGGCGCAGGCCTCGGCTACCTCTGGGCAACCGGCTACATCAAATTCCTCGTTCCGCACGAGAAGATCCTCCGGTGGATCGAAACAAAACTCAACTTATTAGGACGACTCCCGCATTATGTCAGTGTAGATCAAAAGACATATGGCAGGTACGGTGTCCTCCCTACAACAGGCATCCCCTTGGGACCCAGGAGTCCAGACGTGGGACAACGTCTCGGTCCGTAATTCTACTATGGGTCAAAGTATACGTTCTGAGTCTGGACCCGGAACTAGACCAGCCAATTCATTGGCGTTTTTCTTTCTTTGTTGCATCAAGTATGGAGCTTTTTTAATATCGCAGAGTGGCGTAAAAAAAGACCGTTTCTTGCAAGCACAACACGTTAACTGTGTCTGATCTGGCTTTTTTTTCTTTTGCATACAGTTATGTAGTCAATGTGCTATGATATAATTTGTAATACCTCTAGAAGTAACATTGTTTTGTCTATCGACAGAATCTTGCCTCTTGACTTGAATCTGCAGATTATGATACTAGCTCCAATCAACCCCTCTTCCTGCAAGCTCTTTCTTTTTGCCCCACCTGGGCAGTTGCCGTGCATGTATCTTCTGACGATTCGTCGTATTTTGTCATTTTTTTGGTCAAATATATTTTTCCAATTTGAAATGATGTTCATCAATCCTCCCCAACTCAAGCATAGCTTGAATCGTCTCGTTGGTGTAGTTGGTTATCACGTGGGTCTCATATCCTTCACAGTATGACTACTAGTCTCTAGTAGATATCCCAAGGCCGCCAGTTCGAGTCTGGCACGGGACAACAATGATTGTTTTTTTGTTGCCAGGTTGCACTACTTGCCATCCAGTGAACCTTGTCTTGCTGTTTGCTGCATGGCAAATACGGGGATATGGTTACACTTTTTTTTCTGGATATGTAGGAAAATATGCGTTGGTGCAGTACAAGTTATTTACTTCGAACATCCAAAGCTTTATTTTTTTAATAGGATATTTTCACCATGTCACCATTGTGCAAAAGTGCAAGGTGAAAAGGTATCCTCTGAGGGTTGCAACATCGACCATGTCGAACCCCGCAGACGTGGAACTACTCAAAGGGGAAACTTTGCACTGGGGGCTGTAGATTGCAGCACTATCAGAGGGGCAGAAGGGAATTGAGGGGCAGCAGCGAAAAACGACATAGCGGGGTGGGTGGGTTTTTCGTTTGGGGAGGGGGTGACATAGAGGGGTAATATGTAACACAGGGCAGGGCAGGACGAGGGCGGAACGGTGCAAGGCTAGGGTGGAGGGGCATGCAGCAACTTTGCATAGTGGGTATTTTTGGACTTGTGGGCGTGTTTGTATTTGTGTTTAAGTAGTTGTAATTCTGTATGTGGAATGGACTTGTGAACTTTTGGGGGAGTTGGTTGGAGTGGTGTGGGGGTGTTTGGGGAAAGTGGTACGAGGGTTGTGGCTTTTGCACTCTTGTTATATAGCGATAATGGTTGGGAAAGAGGGAGGAAATTTTGGATCAGGTTAAGCGGTTTAAGGAATGTGTATTTGTTGCTTGTGTTGTGAAGAGAGGATAGCGGAGATGGAGTTGTGAGTGGTAGGTTTGAATCGTGGGCTCGGGTTCACTAATGTAAAGCATAAGCGCCACGAACAAAGGTTCTTCGTAGATGTATTGGTGCGATCTCGTAGATATGTAGGATTGTTCTGTGAGGGCAGAAAATAAAGTCTTAGACAATAATCTTGAGTGTGTAATTGCGCAGTGTAGGTGCCTAGTTGACACTCGATGAACTGCGCATCTTCAACGCACCTCTGCACAAGAGGGACGTATGCAGTCCTTATTGGTTAAGTATCTGTGGGTAAGACACATCAGGTGTTCATCTGATAGCTCTGGCAGTCTTAAGAGTCGATTTGACGTTTGCTTTACTCATGATGCACTACTCAACCGAATAATGAAACGTACATGTGGCAGCGAGGATTATAATTGAGATCAAGACTGAACGATATGACTTCCATGTTGTATGTAAACATAGATAAATACTAAGAAGTATGATATTCTTTGCCACTGTGAATCAAACAGAAGATTGCAGGCTAAAGATCTAAAGTGCTATCGCCTCTTACTACTACGTTGACAATAGTCTCGTCCTTCGTCTACAGCTAGTAAAATTGCATTAGCCTTAACAACTGCAATAGAAAAAGTGTCGCACATCGAATATGCAAGCTACAGTCAGTCAAATCAGGTCCGTGAAGTCTGATCATGTCGGAGTTGCTGTTTTTGAAGTATCCACCATAGCCAGTACATCGAGCTACGACGGGGATTTCCGTGGTAATTCGTGTTGACAATTCAAGATAGTTTGAATATGACTTACACCCCCCAAAAAGCATGTTTGTGCTGCTCATACATGAGCAGATTCCAAGGACCAGGCAGTTGACCAGATGTGTGGAATTGATTCCGAATATTCCGATGAAAACGCCGCTACGCGTGCTGTATTCGCATCCGGTCCGAGGCTGGACAAGTACACCAGCGCATTTCTCCACGATGGGAAGACAGCGCTATAGGTGCAACCGACGGCAAAGAAGCTAGAATATCTGAAGTAGCTCTGGAAGGTGACTGAGAGGCTCTTAAAGGCGAACCCATCCATCAAGATCCTCAAGGCAAAGGTGAATCTGTAGCAACCACCTCCTCAACATATTCTCATCTTCAAGCCCACTTCAAACACCTCGTAGCCTCATGCGCATCCTTACAATCTAAACCACAAACCCTCGCACCACACTTCCGACACTTGATCTGCCCCCAATACCCACAATTATCGCAAAACTGCCTCTGCGGCGGTGCCCTAGCAGGAGGTGCAGCAACATGGCTCGCAGCATATGAAAGCGGTGGCGCAGCAAGCAAAACCTCCATATCTTCAGGATTAAGCGGCGGCGGCATCGCGCGATCGATGGAAAGCAGCGCGTCGTCGTCATCTGCATTTGTATCGTCGAGGCGAGACGAGGTCTGCGCTATAGCCTGGGGCGCGGGCACTGGCTCGATAGGTGTGGCGGGTACGGAGGCGTATATGCTTTGTTTCCTTGAGGGCTGAGCCGTTGCTCGCGATGCAGTTGCCATGAGGCCTAGTTGTGCTTCTTCGTCGTCGAGCCAATGCTTGATCTGGCGCTGGTACTGTATGATTCTGCGCGCATTCTGCGTCTTGGGCACGCCGGGCTTGCCGGGAACAGCAATGGCTTGCTTGGGATCGTTATCGCGTTCTAGCTCTGCTATGCGTCGTGCTATGGCGGTCTGCTGGCGTGCTGAAAGTTCATTTTCGCCGCGTTGACCGCCGGGTGTTGCTGCTGCGGCACGCTTCTTGTTCTTTGGATTGATGGCAACTTTGGAGGGGTCGTAGCCGGTATCTACGACGTACGTCCATCCGGGCGCGACGGTGGTGGCAGAGTTTGGGAGCACTTCGACGTGCGGCATTGTGGACGGTGGGGTGGGCAAAGTGACGTTGCGGCGAGTTGGGGCAGGTTACTTACTGGGTGGGATTTCATCACATGCCAATGCGCCGGAGCCCACATCGTGTCCGTACCTGCATATACAACCATGTGGGGTACAAGTACACCATTCGGACTAAACTAGATTCTGCTCGCATTATTCCATCCTATATGCTATCACCTCATAGCATCTATAAGCATTCTTTAAACAGTAGACCATGTCACCCGAAAGAACCCCACCCATAATCATCCCTCCCGCAATCCCACCAAGCGACCCCTCCAAATCCTCCGCCGTCATCTTCATTCATGGCCTGGGCGATGATGCCTCAGGGGTAGAGAGCATAGCATGCCAATTCCAATCGGCACAAAAACTACCGCACATGACCTAGGTCCTTCCCAATGCCCTTGATGGCCATGATCTTGCAACCACAGCGTGGTACTTGCCCACGCGCCTATCTCCGTATCCGCCTTCACGCCCGGAACTCGAGGATGGTGAAGATGAGGAAGGGATTATGGCTTCAGTAGATTATATTACGAGTTTGATTGATGATCTTGTCGTGCAAGGCATGTCTGAGAGGAGGATTGTTGTGGGCGGCTTCTCCCAGGGCCATGCTATGGCTTTGTTGACTGGGCTTGTATCAAAGTATTCGGGGAGACTTGGCGGACTATTCGGACTATCTGGCTGTCTTCCATTATCTGATCGTATATCGACGCTGAGATAAAAGGCTGGGTTACTGAAGGATGTGAACGATGAAGTAGAGGTCTTCCTAGCGAGAGGAACAAGCGATAGATTAGTTCCTAAACGGCATCATCGATTATGCTATGAGAGACTCTCGGAACTCGGGATCAAAGAAGAAAAGACGACGATCAAAGAGTATGAAAACATGGGGCATGTCATGAGCGGCGCCGAGCCAAGAGATTTGTGTGCGTGGCTAGAGAAGACATTACAATGACGCGTAACAAGAAGTCCTTCCATCGCTCCTTCCACGAATGCAACCAGCAAGCAGATAAATAGGTACACTTTGTGATAGTACGACTGAATAGTACATAAAAAGAAAAAGAAAATATCAAGAATGCCAGCCAATGCAAATGTGTATGTATCCGCACATCATCCACTTTCCCCCAAAGCTTATACACACACAGACATAGAGACGCACACAAAACACTCAGATACACATACATACACATACACACTATGCAAAGCAGAAACCTCCCAAAAGAATCGGTCCCTTTTGAAAGTACTCCCAGAAACAAAAGGCATCTCTATTCCAGCCCCCGCCCCAAACCTCCAAGTCAACCCGAATTTCCCAAAAAAGTTAATCCTTTGTTTTCCTTTACTCGTCCAGATACCCAATCTTACAGAATTGATTTAGACTGCGAACGTCGAGTTGCGCTGTCAACAGTGCACCAAGTAGCGTCTCCTTGCGGGGTAGAATATCGGCTTTTACCCTCCATGAGCTACCGTTGAAACTGAAAATCTCCATGTCATCATCATCCTCGTCCTCATCCATGCTGTCGTGGTTCATGTGTCCGTTCATTTGCTGCACGCCCTTGACAAGGGGCTCGCCGCCCTTTGACTTGTCGCCTAGGCGCTTGAGAGTCGATAGCGCACGGTGCACAATGAGTTGGAAACCTTCTCGGTCGTGGTCCATGGGTCTTGGGCCGCGGTGGTTTGGTGGCAGGGGAGGGTGAGGGATGGCAGCGTCAGTGGCTGAGAGAGACATTGCAAATTTGAGGAGCGTATGTGCCCAGCCGTCCTCTGATTCAAGCCATGCACGGCAGATGCCAGTTTCCGGTCCTGGGGCTAGACTGGCGAGGATGTCTGCAGCCAGCATGCCTTGCATGAGATAGGCCTTTCGCGATTCTGCGATACGCGCCTCAAATATGCGCACCTCCTTAGGGCGCGGGTCCTTCAATTGGTACATCCTGTTCTCAATGTAGTTGCGGTCAGGCACGACGGAGATGGCGAGGGCAAAGGATCGTGTCAGGAGGTCATACGCTGGTGTAGCTGTCGCCTCGTTGATGAAGATCTGCTTGTAATATGTCCGGTTGGGATCATCACGAGCGAGCAGCTTTGCGAGACTGTCGACTGCGGACGGAAGATAGCGGTGGATTTGAGGATCAAAGGGCGTGAACTTGACAGGTTCGGTAGGTCGTGGCATTGGAGCAAAGGCGCATAGGAAGTGCAGTACAGCGTATGCATCTTCACGGCTAGGCAGAACAACTTTAGCACTAGTATTGGAAAAGAAAGTAACAATGTCTTTCATGAACTCAAAGGTGTTCATGTGTGAACGGAGAAGCAGAACACGTGTGCCCACAAGGCGTATGAAGTTTGCGAGGAATTTTAGAACCGATGGGCTGACTAGGGAGTCATGATTAACCTCGAGGAAGGATAGGTTGCGGAAAATCGTGGTAATCGCAAGCAGCCGGTCAGCGGTACGATTGAGATGGTGTGCGGTTGTCCCGGCCTGTGGAATTTCCAGTAGCGAGGCAGCTTCTTCGCGGCAGTGGTGCATGACATCTTCGTAGGACATGAGATCGATAATGTCGGTGACTTCGGGATTGTCGTTGCCCAATGTTTCCAAGAGGTCTTCTGCATACTCCACCAATACTTCTGTCAAATCTTCGCAGTGGGCCAGATTGAATTGTATAGTGTTGTCATAAGTCAAGCGTGTGAGGGTGTCGAGTCCCAAGCGCGCCTCGCCAGGCAAACCCGACCTGATGCTCATGGTGATCGCTCGGATGTCAATCACACCCATCTCTGGCAGCATCGGCACGTTTGGCTTGTAGTTTGTGATGGTGTCGATCATGTTCTTGAAGTTGTCAGAGTCAAAGTCGAGACCTCCCCAGGTATCTTGAGTTCGCCATGCGGGTTGGTAGACTCTTGTGCCATCATCTTGCTCTATCACAGGTTTCCGCCTCTCAGGTCCTTCGATAGCATGCAAAGCCGGATCGGCGACTGCAGCATTTTCTTCCTGCTTCATCGGCGAAGGTTGTACCTGGTTAGGTTCTTTGACTGGAACAGGGGTTCCCTCCAACTGTCTGCTGAGGCTCTTCCGCGTATTGATATCTGGCTGTGGTGTGTTACCGTTGACGCTCGGAGGTGCTGCATTGCTTTGTAACGGCGTTGATTGTGGCAGGTGCGCGGTTGGATCGATTTGTTGATGGGGCTGCTGGGTAGGTGGGACTGATTGGCGCTGTTGCTGTTGCTGTTGCTGTTGCTGCTGCTGGGCTTGTTGCTGGGCTTGCTGGGCTTGTTGCTGGGCTTGCTGTTGCTGGGCTTGTTGCTGGGCTTGTTGGGCTTGTTGCTGCTGCTGCTGTTGTTGTTGTTGTTGTTGTTGTTGTTGTTGTTGTTGTTGTTGTTGTTGTTGTTGTTGTTGTTGTTGTTGTTGTTGTTGTTGTTGCTGCTGTTGCTGTTGCTGTTGTTGCTGCTGCTGCTGCTGTTGTTGTTGTTGTTGTTGTTGTTGCTGCTGCTGCTGCTGCTGTTGCTTCAACGACTCCTGCGATCTTTGCAGCTGTTGAAGGTACTCTTGATGTCCTGCAATATTGTTTTGCTGTCCTGGCATTGTCGGTCTTGTTGGGGACATCTGTTGACCCATGGTAGCCATTTGATTCATTTGACCCATCTGACCCATCTGGCCCATCTGACCCATTTGTCCCATTTGCCCCATTTGTGCCATCTGACCCATTTGCCCTTGCGGAGGCATGCCCTTTTGTTGTTGCATTTGCATTTGCTGCTGTTGCTGCTGTCGCTGGATGTAGGCAGTTTCGTATAGAAGCAAGTTTGCTTCGTAGATCTGGCGCAACTCGTTAGGGGCATTAGGGAACTGCTGTGGGTGTATGTTCATCATCTGTGCGATCCGCGGCCAGCCATTCTGCTGGGTAGCGAATCGAGAGCCTTTGAAGCGCAAGACGGCGGCGTAGAGGTTCTGCAAATTAATTACACGGCCAGCGCATTGAGGCTGCGGGTTAAACGGGCGGTTTTGCTGAGCATATAGCGCCGCAACGTTTTTAAGGAACTGCTGATATTGGACCTGGGGGTTTGGTTGTTGTGGTTGACCTTGCATCATGTTTGGCTGCATACCAGGATGCTGCATGGGGTTTTGCATTCCGCCGGGCATCTGTGCGCCTGGCTGCTGTCCTTGTCGCGCGGCCATGTTGCTCGCGGCGAGGTTGCCCAGCTGCTGCTGCTGTTGCAGGCGCATTGCGTACTGCCTCTGCGCCTCCTGCTGGCGACTCTGCAGATTTTGTGACAGCTGGACCGACTGAACTGGGAATTGGTTACCAGAGTTTGCGTTGAATGCTTGGTTCATGGGCGAGGGTTGGAAGCCCATGGGCGACATCTGGGGCGCATGAGGGTTTTGCGCGGGCGAGGCAGTCTGCATTCGCTGGCCGCCCATCTGGCTAGGCGCAAAGTGCTGGCTCGACATGGTGGGCGAAGGCGTGTTGGCGAATGGCTGTTGGTGCTGGAAGCCGAATTGGGGCTGCTGGGAGGGCGTCTGTGAGCGGGATAGAGAGAGGGCGGCGCCAGTGGAGTCTCGCTTCTGAGGGACTTGGGGCATTGGGTTGTAGGGGCGCGCGCCATTCATCTGGGGGTTGGCGATGGCACTGGGATCGATGAAGCTCGAGGTGTCGTACATGGCGTTCTGGGGAGACTGGAAGTCCATGGTGGAGCGCGACTAGGGCCGACGGGCGATGGTCGCGGCGGGAACGAGTGAAAAGGCGCGTGTCGGCCGAGGAGAGCGGCGAGGGAGCGTGTATGTGTTCAGGCACGTGAGGGGGCTTGGGAAGCACCTGGCGAGCACGGCGTCAGCAAGCAAGTTGATGGTGAGATGGACGACGCGCCTCTGCTAGCCGTAGCAGCAGCGGGTATGGACGAAAGCCCAGCCCCGGACAAGCACGCAGCAGCAGCAGAGAGCGGCGAGCGGGAGCAGTCAACACACAGTGCGGCAACAGAAGAGTAGCGCTAGAATGCTCTTGTCATCAGGGCAAGGCGGAATGGCGTGGCTCCGGGGGCAGTCGAGATGTTCACGTAGCGCAGACGCGCTTTGCGGACTATGCGGTGCTGAGGAGCGGACGTGGAGCGAGAAGGGCGCTGTTGCCAAGCAAAGCCCTCTAGCCTCATCCAGCATGGCAGGCCGGCCAGAGGCTTCGACAGGCGACGACTACGACTCCAGGACGGCGAGAGGACCAGCACGGGCAGACACGACGGCTGCAGAGCCTCGCACGTCAGATTTCCAGGCCATGTCCAGTCGCATCCGAGCAGCAGGAAGACGCGTTCGCGCGTCGCGACAACGACAGGCCAGTCGAGTGCCTGCGTTCCGGCAGCTCACAAGCCTAGGCCTAACTCAATTGGAATTCTCCGCGTCTCTGGCCGTCGTGACACGGAATCTGCTCGTTCTCTCCACTTATTACATCACCTTGTGCCTGCAGTCGTCGCTTGCGCTGGGCGTCGAGAGTGGGCACCCGCCAGACCGCTTGACTACTATCGCCCAGCCCGACCGTCTGACCCCCAGCAAAGCGCCACACCGAGTCCCTTTGGCTGTCCTGGGCCCCTCTGCTCTACATGCCCTGGCCCATGGTGTTTGGCCCCGCTGACAGGCCGACTCTGCAATTCCCACTGTTCCACTGCTATTGCTGCCAATTCCCATTGCCTCCGCCCACCTAGTACGCCGGTTGATCTCCGGCGAGCCAATCTCCCTCTGGGGCCTGGCCGCCTCAGCATGATACGTGCTCTAGGTGGAATACCGTGAGCTTCCTCCAGAAGAGACGCCCACACCACAATTCCCTTGTCGCTCCCCGCCATACGATTCCATGGTGTCGTTCGCTGCTTTGAGTAGTAGTCGACAAGGGTCCATGACCATTCACCTGCCATACCTAACCCGACCCGGTCGGTGGGCGCGCCAATCCCAAGCTGTCAGGTCCATGTATTGTGATCCTACTGTATGCATGCTCTCTGTTTGCCTCATGCAGCTCATATATAGTCTGATATATCGCAAAGTTGCCTTTGCCTCCCCCCTGCCACATGTGTTGTCTGAAGCAACTGGGTGCTGTGAGATCATGCCCCTCACGTGACGTCGGCGGTAGCGCCCCCAACCCCGATGGCTCGCGCCTTCTATGAGCTTCAGCACCATTGCGACTAACAAGCACCGCCTCACCCACACCCCAACACGTCGAATCCCCAGTTGCTACAGTCTTCTAACCGTCGACCCGTTACAATCCAAACCCTCATCTATACCGAGACTATTGAAATTCCATCACCATGGCTGACGCCACCGTCGAGAACCCGGCCAACACAGTCCCGCCGCATAAGAAGCAGCTCCCGTCATCGATACCAAACTTCGACGCCTTGGAGGGCTTCTCGACCGAGGGAAACGACGATTACTCCACCTTCAAGAAACTACAACGGCAATTAGAGTGCGTAGTGCGCGTCTCATATCTGGACAACAAGTGGCTAACAGCCGCAGATACATCCACCTTCAGGAAGAGTACATTAAGGATGAGCAGCGGAGTCTAAAGCGCGAGCTTGTGAGGGCACAGGAGGAGATCAAACGCATCCAGAGTGTGCCACTGGTCATCGGACAGTTCATGGAGGCAATTGACCAGAAGTAAGTCCTACACACAATATACCAGTTGCGTCACGAGACTGACATGAATAGCACCGGCATCGTACAATCATCGACTGGTTCCAACTATGTCGTTCGCATCCTCTCCACCCTCGACCGCGAATTACTAAAACCATCCTCATCTGTCGCCCTCCATCGCCACTCGAATGCTCTTGTTGACATTCTGCCCCCCGAGGCCGACTCCTCGATTGCCATGCTTGGCCAGGATGAGAAGCCCGACGTCACATACGCCGACGTGGGAGGTCTGGATATGCAGAAGCAGGAAATCCGGGAAGCCGTCGAACTGCCTCTCACACACTTTGACCTGTACAAGCAAATTGGTATTGACCCACCACGTGGTGTGCTGCTCTACGGCCCTCCAGGTACCGGAAAGACGATGTTGGTCAAGGCTGTTGCGAACAGCACAACTGCCTCGTTCATCCGTGTCGTAGGGTCTGAGTTTGTGCAAAAGTATCTTGGTGAGGGTCCACGTATGGTCCGCGATGTCTTCCGAATGGCGCGAGAGAACTCGCCATCCATCATCTTTATCGACGAGATTGACGCCATCGCTACCAAGCGTTTCGACGCGCAGACGGGTGCCGACCGAGAAGTCCAACGTATTCTCCTGGAACTGCTCAATCAGATGGACGGTTTCGATCAGACGTCCAACGTCAAGGTCATCATGGCCACCAACCGTGCCGACACTCTGGATCCCGCGCTTCTCCGACCTGGTCGTCTTGACAGGAAGATTGAATTCCCCTCGCTGCGAGACCGCCGTGAGCGCCGCCTCATCTTCTCCACGATTGCCGGCAAAATGAGCCTGTCACCCGAGGTAGATCTCGACAGCTTGATTGTGCGCAACGACCCACTTTCCGGTGCCATTATCGCAGCCATTATGCAAGAGGCGGGTCTGCGAGCCGTACGCAAGAACCGATACAACATCATCCAGAGCGATTTGGAGGAGGCATACACGAGCCAGGTCAAGGGAGCAACAGAAGCGGATAAGTTTGACTTTTACAAGTAAGCAGGCTGCTTCAAGGGGAGGAAGAACAGTAGTAGTAGCATTGTAGACTATGATGGATGGATAGACTGAGGCCGTTGCGGTCTTGAATCTTCTGAATAATGCAACAAGCATGACGACGTAAACATCGAGCGTTGTATCTATCTATCAGCTTTGAGTGTGCCCTAAAGTTCCTAGACTGTATAACTACACATGTTTGAAGTAGGAGATAAATGTGAAATATATGCATTCGAATTTGTTTGCCATCTATCTACCAGTTAATGCGCCGCTACTGCTACAGCCCATGTTCCTTCTGTCTGTCCATCTGTCTGTGTCCTGTGTGCCTTTTGTCACAGCACCGCTATAGTATATCCTCTTTTTCTCTCTTCCTCTCTCTCTCTTTCCAACCCGCAAACGACTACTATTCCCACCAGCTCTTCCCTTTGTCGCTCACAAATCCACAGACACACACATATACAGGCACACGCTTGCATATTCCTACACCCCCCATTCAATCTTGCCAAAGCCGACTGACTTCCAGAACCCGCATCCAAAAAAGAGAAGAAAAGAAAAACAAGTTCCAACACAAAGAAAGGAGAAGGAAAACAAGACCAGTTTCCCCGATTCTCTCCACTTTCCTGTCTCCCTCGCACTCATGCATAGCCTAACCAACGCTATACAAACTGGTTCCAACCCCTTCTCAAGAAAAAAGCAGCGGCATACAAAACAGAACAAAGGAAAAGAGGATAAACAAGACAAGCAGATCCGATATCCCGCGGTGCAAAAATAATCGCCACGCCCACGCTGCCACTATTTCCGATCAGATCTAACAATCATGACGGGGTGTCGGGCGGGCGCAGGACGGGTTGGAGCAAACTCATGGTATCATGCATTCGCGAACGCACAAAAAAAAGATGTAGATAATGTGTTGGTTTGCGAAGAAGAAAAAAGACACATAGGAGAGTAGGGTAAGAAAAGAGGTGAAACTCCAGTGCTTCGCTGAAAAGACGAACACAAGACAGAGGCAGAGACAGAGGTTGGGTGGAGTGTTATGCAAGAAAACTCCCCGACATACAGAGAAAATAAAAATGAACAAGAGTTTTTGATATCGATTCGAATGGGTGGTAAGTTGGTGGTGGAATTAACAAGAGTAGAATGGACAAGACGCACACATAAAAAAAAGAGGAAAAAAAAGAGACGTGTTTACATTGAATAAAAAGACGGATCTTTCCTGGTTCGATCCCCTGGAGTGTATTGTTGCTTAGTTGACACGGATCGTGGTTTCAAGAGGGGTTCGTGGGAGGTCCTTGTCTATCGATGAGCGGGGGATACCTCTGCTGCTCTTGTCCTCCTTGGGGGGTGTTGGGGGGCCAGAGTGCCTGTTAGACATGTAGTCATCCTTTGGCGGTGTAGGAGGACGTCCAGCGTCTTTTGGTGGCGTTGGTGGCGCCCTCCCGAGTGACTGGTCCCTCTCTCTTGATTGTGACCTGGCTCTTGTCTCGAGTTGTGGTGGGCCGAGGTAGGGTGTACCTGCAGACTGCGATGGCAATGACGATGATCGCTCATTGTGCTCGCTCACGCCAGCCGCGTTATCTGTTGCGCTGCGGCTGCTGTGCCCACCGACGCTGGATGATTCTCCGACTTCCTCAACTACGGGAAGCGTAGTGCCTATCTCCCCTCTCTCTGCCGACGGGCTGCGTACTGCCCTCATGTGGAAATTGGGTACATCCTCTTCATTCTGACCGTGTCTTCTTGAGCGATCGGCTTGATGCTCAGCCTTCTCAATAACACGCTCAGTTGACAACCGCTGGTTAGGAGTTGCACTAACGCCATCAAGCGAGAGATCGTTGAGTTCGTTTGTCACTTGTTCTTGCTTCTCACGCTCGGCTGCCTCTTTGGTTTTGGTGACGGCGCTAATGAATTTGATGAAGCGATCTCCGTATCGTTCTGGAGGAATGGCAGATATTTGAGACTCGGTATTTGCAATGCCCTTGAAAAAGTGCTCCATGCGCTTGATGAACGAGTACTAGAGAAATATTAGTCACCAGCCCAGTCTCTCCATATGATCCTAGTAAACTTACATGTGTCAGGCAGTCGATAATGCCAAGGTAATAAATCTCCTCTCCGGGCGCGTTATCCTCGTGGGTAGCCCGGAAGCCACCATCGTCCGAGTAAAAGTAGAAGTCGCGGTTAGGATCATCCAGCTCATCGGGCATCTTACTTGATGTTTGACCCATGGGTACGGGCTTTTGTGTCTTGACCATCTGCCTTAGTTCTCGTGCCTTGCGCGCGTTCTCCAACTTGGATGGTGTGCGCATGAGTTGGTTGGGTGGTTGATCCGCTGACTCCTCGCCGCCAGGCGAAAAGACCTTGAGGGTCTTGTCCCGCAAGTTTTCTTCGTTGCCCTTCTCCAGATCGTGGATACCAATTAGAAGTGAGTAGTCCATGATGTGCAGACGCTGCAAGAGCTTTACGTCTTTTTGCATCTGCTCAATGAACATCTTCTTCTTCACCGGCCCTAACTCGAGGTGCTGATCTCTGCGTAACCAGTTCAGGTCCTTGAGTGTTGCCCGAGGGTTGGCGGCCAAGTTTTCTTCCTTGAAATCTCGTCCAATGGTTGAACCTTTCAAATCAAATGTGCGGTGAATATCTCTATGTGGGGGAAACAGGTTGTTCATGACGACGAAATGGATCTTGCGTCCATAGGGTATCTTAACGCGGTGCAGGCCGTAAAATTGGGAAAGAAGGGTATTAGGGTTTTCTTGTACGTGGTTGTAGTAGTCCTTGAGTATCTTGCGAAGGAACTTGTGTTCGGCATGGTGAATAGTCTTGATGATGTACTTGTAGTCTCTGGAGAAATAGAAGAAGCTGCCGCTCTTTCCGGGCGAGCCGAGCTCGGAAAGGATGTACTTGCTAGTTAGCGATACGAGGTAGTCGGCAGGGTCGAGCTTGAAGATGGTGCGCAGATGGCGGAACACCCATGGCGCGTAGTCCTTGAATTTGAAGTCGTACTTTGCGGAAGGCGTGAGTTCGTTGCCGGTTCTGCAAGGTTGTTAGTATCATGTCAGAGGGTCAAAGAGAAGCAGGCCTGGCAGACGAAGTGAAACTGAACTCGAGCAACAGCTTCGTCTCGGCAGGAAAGCCAGTCGGCACGTACATGTCAAACGAGAACTTGTGCTTCGCGTCGAAGTCGGCGTCGGTAAGTTCTCGGTCCATCTTGGCGTTTGTTCTCGAGACAGTGAAGCGGATACCAGTCAACATGTTGTAGGCCGTGACCCAATTGACGTGGTTTTGATCCACCTTTGTTCCTACCACGACGCGATCTTCATCCTCGTCTTCTTTGCGCTTCCTCTTGCTGGCCCGCTTCTGACGGATGTGTTCAGCCCACCGTGCAGCTTCGTCATCCTGCGGCACCTCCTCGGGAGGCATGTCAGAGTTGATGGATCGCGTGTTCCTGCGCACGAGCGACATGGAGCCTCTGCGCTTGTGGGGGTGGCTGGGCGAGAATCTACCGCTTGCGCTAATGACGTCGTCGGTGTTGTTCTGGGTTTCGCGAGCGCGCGAGGACTGCACCTTGGGCACCTCGAGCGTGTGACGTTGTTGCAGACGATAAGGGTGTTGTGATGGGCCGGGATTGTTGTTGTTGCTGGTATTGGTGAAGGTGGGTGGGGAGGAGGCACGCTGAGCTTGGTTGGTTGGGACCTGCAGGCTGGGTGTGACAGCTTCGGCCTGGGACTGGGGCGATGACGAAGTGGGAGCGGTAGGGAGTGAACCCACGTGGGGGATGTGAAAGTCTTTGCTCGCCTCCCTTGTGGCATCGCCTATGTCTATTTGGCCCATCTCGACGTGGGTTGTGCTACCGCACAGTCTGTCCTTGGTCTTTGTGCTGTGTACCGACGCGAAGTAGCCATCGTCTCTGGCTGGTCGCTCAGTCGACCAGCGTTGCGTGTCGGACGACTTGGGCATGGTGTCGGGGTCATGTGAGTCGCCTCGGTGCCAGCTAGAGCGACTCTCTTCCTGCGACAAGCGCTTATCGATGCTCTCGGGCCTGGTTGAACGTGCGTGGGGATGTGCGTGCGTCGTGTTCATGCTATTGGTGAGCTTCGCGTTCATGGGCTGCGAGTTGCCATTGGTGAAGGAGTCCCTGGGTGGCGGTGTAGTCGACGCGGCGGTTTGTCCATGTGCAAGGGAAGAACGACCGTTTGAGTCGGTGGCATACGCGGGCATCATCTGCGACTCATGGATGGTGACGCTCATCAAAGAGGCAGCCTTCGCCGAGCGCTGCGTCGTCGGGGTCGACGGAGCGTGGGAAGCCAGTGTGTGCGGTGTGGGAGGGAGATGGGGAGTGGGTCGAGTGGTGCAGACGATGCGAGGAGCAGCACCGTACCGGAGCACGACGGTCCAAAGGGGGACGAGAGGGTGACGACTATGTCTCTTTCTCGCTCACTCGCTGTGGCTCTGTGCGCGGGCGGGCGGGTGTCGAGGGCAGAAGCAACGGGGGTCGGCAAGAATGGGCGTGTATGTGTGTGTGTGGATGGAGTGTAGTCGAGCTCAAGGAGTAACAGAAGCCGGCGGGTGTGAAGCTCGAATAGTTGGCAGCTCTGCGCCCGTCAGCCCTCGCTCGCCGTGACCCGACTTCCGTCTTGCGCTAGGCTTGGCGCTTGGACAGTGCCTGATTGCATCCACTTTACATTCCATTCATACACCGGCCGACAACAAGCAGCGTGCACCTCCACCTCCACCCCGCCCCTGTCAGGCCCTGCGGATCGCTGCGCTGGTGAGGTGCATACCTCCGTAATTATCCATTAGAGCTGTTGCCTTTTCCCTGGCGTCGTGGTGCGCCATGTCAGCGCAAACGCTCTGCATCACCGCCGTCGTACGGGGAGATTGCGCGTCTGGATTAAGAACAGCCGGCGTCCCTCAGCCACACCAATAGTCCCAGCAGCCCGGGTGCGGCGTCATGCTGTGGCACTCGCACACGCCCGGTTTGTGAACGCCCTCTCCTCACTTTGCATGGCTAAAACATGCACACAGCCAAGCGACACAGGGAGAGAGGCCTTTTTTGTTTGAGCGTGTTGCCTGTCAATGCTGCGCCTGTCCATCCGCATCCGTCTATTCCGGCATTGCTGTGGTGCCAAGCAGCGGTCTTTTGAGCATGCGAGCCGGGCCTTGCCCTGCCTGTCTGCCTGCGCCGCACTTCTGGCGTCTGGCCGGCAGCAACTAGCTCCAGGTCCGCCGCTAGCCCTACGCCCCAATCTCCAGGGTAACGTTGGTTGCTTTCTGCAGTATGTACTACTACCTCTGCCATGTGCGTGATTTGTTGCGAAACACTGTGCCTTCGCCCTTCCCGCCGCCCTTTCTTGTTATTGCTGTTGTTGCGAAAAGCGTGATACTACCAAGTAACCCTTCGTAGGCGAGCGGTGTAGGAAAGAGAAGGGGGCGCCGCAGGTGGGCACCCAACATCACGTGCACGCGCACGTGAAACCACAGCACCCCACTGCCATTTCATGTGGCAGGGTCCATTCTCCACGTCGTCATGAGCCTGCGTCAGCCTTGTCCACTGCAACTATAGCCGCATCCTCGCCATCTCTAACCACTTGCTATCCTTATCCCGCTACCACTACCTTTGACCTGTCACCCAAAATAGAACTAGCTAGCAACAAGAAACGACCACAGAGCTCGACAAAGTGCGAACCGTTTCAAGCCATCCTCTAGGCTCCTACTAGCAACTTTGTCCACCGTCTCTCACCACACCAGACTCAAACATACCTCATCTCCATGCGGGCCAAGACCATGCAGCGCTCCTGCCCCGTCTCAGCCTCTCTACACTACACCACTCTCTCGGTCAATGTGGCTAATGAACAATTCTCTGTCTGGCCACCCACATCCTGGCGAGGCCCAGATGCTAATACCACGACAACTGTATCCTGCGACATGCAGCGCTTCAGCTTGTAGTAACCCGATGGCATTCCCCAGAACTTAATGTGATGACTTCTGTATTTGGCAATTTTTTTCTCACAACGCCCTCGTCGAGCATCTTCCTCACTTCGCCAGCGGCATGCTGTGCAATCTGCGTCAGCTTGACTGCCCATCCACGATTGTCTTTGTCTGCATCGTGGGCAGAGATCCAAGCTTTTGCGTACAAGCTTTTGGCGATCTCAGTCCCACCCGGAGACCCGGCTGATATGTTGCCGCCAAGCCACCATGGATTTTCGACGCAGTCAAAAGAATGAAGAAGCGCTGTTAGAGGCAAGGCTGATTCAGAAACAAGATACGAACTGGCATATGGCCGTATCATGTCGTATGAAACTCCATGGGGCGAGTAGATGACCGACAGCGTCTTTTCACGATTGTTGTACGGCGAGGGCACAATGGTGCGAGGCGACGATGCAATCGTCATCGGGGATCCTGGCGACGGAGGTGGGCTCATGGGAAGGTCAATGTAGTGCATTGGGCTGAGTGAAGAGAGCACCGTGCATGGAGGCCGGTATGTTATACCAATAGCATGGTGGACCTTGGAGATGTCGCGTTTCGCAGGTATCCAGGTCACCGTGACTTCACCACACGTTCCTCGAGCCGAAGGTGGCGGTAGCACAATGCGATGAATAGATTGGTCATTTCCCTGCGCAAATCGTGGAAGAGCATGTACGGCCTCGGGACGAAAGTGTTTCCACGAACGAATCTTCTTGGCTGCAGAGGGAATGGCTAGGATGGTCGACTCGCCGTCTGGTGGCAGTTGACGCAGTGTCGCTTCATGGCAATGGTCGGGCTTGTCTTGGGATATCAGCACGAGGTCGGGCTCGCGATCCAGGTCCCGGAGGCTCGAGATGGACGGCTTTGCCCTTTGCTCTGAGTGTGAGAAGACAGAGTTGAGGATAATCGATGGCCCAGTCAGCCAGGCTGCCCACGGAACAAAGCGTTAGCAGAATGCCCGTCATGCGTCTAGGGATGTCACATGCTACGATGAACCAGTGTGGGCGACTCGCACCGCCTAAACTTTGGACTAACTTACGGTCAACTAGAATCGTAAAAGAACCGGGAAACAAGCCCGGGGACGATGGTGGGGCTGCAGGTGGGTCGAATGTAAGAAGGAAGGAAGTGTCTCCATTTAAGGACTGCACTGAAAGCGACATGGTTGACAGGAGCGGCAGTTCAGGCAAAGCACACCACGAGGCAGCTGCGGTACAGTGGGAGACATGAAGGGGCGAGCCCAAGAAAGCAGGGCACGGCAATACTGCGTCAAGCTGTCATAGGAGCGAGATTACGCTTGGAAGGTGGGCGCGGAAATGGTAGTCGTAGACGAGCTCCCTGGTAGGAAGAAGCAAGTGCACACGAGGGCATGGGTAACCACATTTGGAATCAAATTACAGACATAGTACTTAGTTACATACTATAACACTACAAAGGTAGTAGCAGAAAACAATCGCTTATCGCCTGTCTCTACCAGCAATATCCCACCAGCTGTTAAGGCAAAAAATAAAAATATGGCTGGCAGGATGGTACTTTTTTTTTCATCCCCTGTCTTCCTTCCTATTTTTCTCTCGTTCTTCCCGGCGCCCGACCAAGCCGTGCCGGATTTCGCCTTGGGACATGCGGCCATGTGCAAAAGTGACAGCCTTGCCGGCGGACGGTGCAGCTAGCTCGGGGTTGCAGCAGTGGGAGCAAAATCTTTTCACGTTTGTTGCGCCGTAGCCGGTCTTGTAGTGCAGACGACCAGGCTCCAGGGGTGGGCTGGTCCAGTGGCATTCACGGGCTTGAAGCTATGGCAGTGCACGGGACTCGAGCTGCTGCGAAGCCTCGTGCCGATGATGAGTCGCTCTCCAACTCGACGCCGTCTGATTGGAGCGCACAACAATCTATGGGAACAGTAGGTCATTGGGCAGCACAAAGCTCTTTCTCCAAGCTGCCTGGTTCCTTTGTCCCAGGCACGATCCCGGGCTGTGGTCTGATTGCTCACTTGCACTTGCTGGAAGCTTGCCGTGGCGACATAGCTCTGCCTTTTGCAGCAGCACGAGCAGCCGCAGCAGAAACAGCAACAGCAGCAGCAGCAGCAGCAGCGCACGCCCATTGACGCCTCCTCCGCGCCCGCTGTGCATGGCGACATCGTCATTCTCGAATAAAGCTTTCACCTGGTCTTCCCCAAGCCCCGCGGTCTTGCGTAGCTGCCCCGCATCCGCTTGCCCTTCTATCTGCAGTGGCAGCAACTTCAGCTCAGAGCTTCCTCGACTGAGTGCGAGCCAGAGAGCTCCTCGTCACACCTTGCCCGTAGTCGCCGCGACCAGCTGGAAGCTGCGCGCCCTCCGTACACAGCTTCCCTCACCCGCCCTAGAGCTTCCCGCGCAATTTTTGCTTCGCCGAGAAGCTCCTGCCGTTGATGCTTGCAGCCATGCCTCCTTCGCGCGCAGCACCGCTTACGAGCTCCTTCTCCGTCAGTGACGAGAACAACGTCGTCGTCTGCCCGCTGCGCAACCATGATAGCTCAGCTTGCCGAAAGCGCTGCACAGGCGTAAGTCTTCACGAGAGAGAGCTAGTTACCCCACGTCATCCCACGCCTCGAAGCTCCCTTGTCTTGCCCCAGCTGCCGACTAATCCACCATGTGTAGGAGAAGCGCTTTCGCTCTATGCAAGAGCACATTCGACGTGCTCACCCCGAGCACTACATTTCCAAGCTTCCAGCAACAGAGGTACGAGCTTCCAGAATATCAAAAATTTGGTCACATCACATGCTGATATCATCTGCTCGCTGGTAGGAAAGCTTTCTGTTAATGGTCAATACACCACCGCAAGAACGAGCTCCTCCTCCTCCTACAGCGACGGCAGTGGCAGCGCCACAAACGTATGATTACAGCAACAATGAACACAATTCCTTCTTCGAGTCCGAATTCGGCGCCAATTCTCTTCGAGGGACTGGCGAAACGCGTCGGCCATCGCTACTGCCTACCGCGACTGCTGCGGCTGCTCTGGCCTCATTACACAATCACCGTGCAGAGTATGACTGGGATTCAGATCCGGTAAGAAGCCGCACTGCAGCATTCCCTGTATACTATGAGGCTAACGCATGCTGTGAACAGGACGCAGCATCCGACCCAGACTCGAAGAACTTCAGGCCCCGCGCGCGCTTTGCCCCAACCCCCGTAGGCCCACCGAGCAACACCGAAGAACCATACTATACTTCTGGCTCTATCCAGCAAGAGCTCTTGCCATCCTCTCTCGCGCGCTCACCTCCCGGTCGCTCTTCCACTCTGCCTCCGGGAGCTCACTCTGTTAAGCCGAACCGGCCTCGGAAGCCGTCCATAGGGCAGAATGCTCGTCGAGGGAAACATGAACGCCAGAAATCAAAAGACCACAGTCGGAGAATGAGCTATGACCGAAAAGCATTTTCAGCTGAGCCTGCAACAGCAGCTGCCATTATGGGTAAACGGTGGGAAGACCTCATTGACGCTGCTGCTTCAGCAACTGAAGAAGATAGCCGTGATTTGACCCCTGTAGGTTTCGCAGTCCTGTGTATGATCAAAGCTGACGTAGACAGGTGCCGCAATCGCCCAATCACTCACCCCACATGATGAACAGTCGAACATCTATGCCACCCTTCAACTTTGCTTCACAACTCCAGTCATACACCGCATCCCCCTTGAACAATGCCTTGACGCCTCCACCGCCAGACATGTCGGATCTGCAGCCCTTCCCCTCTGTCGAGTCATCGATTGAATCAGCAATGTCTGGCCACAATTTTCATATGCCCTCGCAGGGCCTTTCTGACTCGTCTCCCAACTCCCTATTTCCTGTTCAAATATACTGCGCTGCCTGTCGGAAGCTATCCATATTGCGCGACAGCTATGCATGCTCTGAATGCATCTGCGGTCTGTGCCAGGAGTGCGTCGACGTTCTGGTCAGCGAACACAATCGCGGTCGCGCTCCAACGTGCCCACGGTGCAGCACCATTGGAGCCAAGTTTAAGCCCTTCCAGTTGGACATTAGATGAAACGGTTTGGACTTTTGCAATTTTGATCTTGGTATTGCTTATTGGCCTTCTATCACGGCCCCCCACACGTTTCCTGGGCCTTGGCCTAGTTCCGGCGTTTTCCCCAGCATTATTAGCACAACGGATTGGACGGCGTTTTACTATATTTACTTTTTAAGAGCAGTGCAAGCAGGCACTACTTAAAAGCAGGTTGGCACACTGCATCCAAGGAAGGAAAATCCTCGGGTGCTGCACTCATGATGAATGAAGAGATGCAGAAATAGATTACGTCTGCGAATACAAGTCGAGTGCGGATATGCACATTGCTATGATGCTTTGGTCTCTCCAGCCTGCACAGCACAGTTCCGATAATCGAGCCGTCAAGCATGCACCATGCAATGGACTCGGGCTTCTGTCTTCTACGTTATCATCCTGGGCTGCGTCAGCATCAAAAAGCTCGGCACCAGCCCTCGTGACAGAGTGGTGCTGAGGCTGGGGCGGTGCCGATTCGGCAAAGGGAAAAAGATGCGGTGACTGAGCCGTGGTTTAATGGGGGCGGGAGTCCGTGAGTGTCAGAAGCTAAGTATACGTCACATGTCAGTTCACGGGTGTTGAGAAGTGGGCGCCTATGCCAAGGCCAAACCACTATAGTAACGAAACGTCTACTCTTGATGCGATGAAGGCGTAGGATCGGTCTAGAATGGCCAGGCTCTGTTGGGAGTAAGAACACGAGAGGGGAGATTGCGCATCACAGCAAGAGAGGAATAGCCGGTAGGATTTCGGCTGGTCGCAAAAAGCCGGCAGCAAGATATCTATTTTGGCCGTTGCCTACTGCAGGGAACGAAGCGATGTGGGGGGCTTGGGCTGAACGGGCGTCTTGGGTCCCGGAAAATCAACGTTAGAATACGTATAGTCGGCTGCTGAACAATGGCGAATAAAGGGGCAGCTGCCGCCGCCACTGTTTGCTGCACGGACAAAGCGTTGACTGATCCGTATCGATTGGCGGTTATAATAGTCATCCGGATAGAGAGCCCATGCCGAATTCGGAAGTAACGATTCGAGTACGCGACGCTGCTCCTCAGACCGGACTCTGGACTGGCGTCGAGAAAGACAGATGGCCTGGCTGGCAGGTTTTGCGATTCGTGGCCATTAAAAGGAGGGGTTATTGTTTTGTTGCGTGTATCGAGGGTACGCATGACCTCTTACCTCGTCAATGTTTCCTGTTGTCATACAAATCACACTTTATTTCCTGATTGGGCCAATCACGAAACAAACAAATAATGGCAGAAGGGACGCAGAGGCCGGCAAAGTACATATGGCGGTGAAGTGAACGGGAAGGAAGCTTCGTTGCCCGTAGCATGAAAGAGCCAAGCCCGTCTCCTAATACATGTTAAATACGTATAGTCTTGTGTGTGCAAGCCAATCGCTACACTTGGCCCAAAGGACATAGTGTCAAGAAGCCGCCGTCCGGATATGGCTCGGTGTAGATCAGACTAATGATACCGGGCCAAGACCAGCTGACGGGTTTTTGACGAAAGAAGCGCTTCTGCTTCTTGATGATACCGCCATGCAACTGCAGATCGTCGCCAATCTCACAAGTCATGTGTCGACCATCCGCTTTGGTTTGTGCAAAGCTCATGCAATGTCATTGCCATTGTCATGCTCCCGCATTTTCCCATGATGCACCCTCCCCATAAAAAATATCTCCACAGTTTATGTTGCAGAAACCAAAGAAACAGTCCGGGCAACCGTTGGCAATTTCCTATCGTCCCCCTGTTTCCGTTCCTCGCTCCCCGCCGCGGAACCTTCACGCAAAGTAAACGAAACACATACATAAAAACGCCCCCAGTTGACCCGATCGGCGCTTCTAGCGCAGGGTCTGGCCTTTGCAGGTGCCCCCAACCCCACACACCGCGACACACACACACATTCAATAACCCTTGGGGCACACCAGGCAAATGCACGACACACACACAAACATGTGCTTACTTACTTACTACTGTAGCCGCTGTGGGTCCCCCCTCATCCTTACTCTCTGCGGCAACCAACCGCCAAAGAAAGAAAAGAAATAGCCCAACCCCACCGATACTAAACCAGGCTGGGCAGGACCAACCCAACCCCGACGCCGCTAGCTTTATACCGGAGCCCGCCAGGCCAAAACGCCAGAAAGTTGCGCCTAACGTACTTGTACCCTCGAGCTTTTTTGATCAATAAACACGCGCAGTAGTTTCAAACGCCAGGTTCCCTGTGCCAAGAGACATCCACCACCGCCGTCTTACCTTCTTTGCATACTGATTGGCGTTTGGCCAGCCCCCCCCCTCCATTACCGGGAAGACAGGGGACGAACAGCGGAGCGGTTGACCATGTGGTATGTAAGTATGTATGCTCGGTGTTGTGGAGTAATTAGTTACTAGTTCAATTAAGGAAATTAGGGAAGGAGGGCGGCGGCGGGGCGGGCAAGTGCGGGTAACGCTTCAAAGTCACACACGCACACCCCTGACATATGTCCGCCGCCGCCCCTCGCTCGCTCGCGTGCCCTCTAAATTAGGGAGGGGGTGGGTTCTCTATCTCACGCTGCATATAGTGGTGGCGGGCAGGCAGGCGAAAGGAACAAAAACAAAAAAAGGTATTTAGGTACGAGGTTGTGCCCTCGCGTGTTTCTGCATTAACCTTTCGTATCCCTCCCGTTGCCCCCCCTTCGTACCGTGTCCCCGCCGCCGCCCCATCCCGGTATACAGATCCGTCTCCGTTTTGGCGATTAACCTTGCCGTGTGTACCTGGAACGGTGAATTAAAAAAAAGTCCAGAAATCTAGAACCTTTTTTTGGTCTATACCTTCGGTCAATATTATTATCTGATACATATAAACTTCCCCAACGATAACCCAGTTCCCCCCTTTTACGCGCATACAACACGTACGCACGCGCACCACTCAATACATGCACACGCTCTATACACACTGGCATCCAGCTTTACTACTACGACAACAACCTAACAACAACTTGAACCCTACACACACAAACATACACATACCGACAAAATGCCCATCTTCCGCACCCTAACCACCAAACTTAAAACTTCACTCTCCGCCTCCTCCTCCCCAGACACAACACCAGTCCAATCCCCCATCTCGCCCCAGGCTTCCTCGCCCTCGTCATCATTTGAGCGGCTGGGAGGCCGCAAGCAAGGCTCAGGCAGCATGACAGCTGTAGATGCTACGGCGGGGGAGCGGCCGCAGGTGCAGGAGCGGACGGACTCGTTTATGACGCATCATGGAGGCCAGGGCAGTAATGAGAGTGTTGTGGAGAAGAAGATGGTGACGATGACAAAGCGGACGAGTCGGTTTAGGGAGGAGTTGGATTTTGAGGCTGAGGAGTGAAGATTGAAGAAGAAGGATTGGAGAAAGAAAGGATGGTCATGTCGAAAGGTATGTTTTTTTTTGCTTTTGATTCTTGTTGTTTTCAATTGTAGTATTCTACATTGGAAACGATCAAGTTTGACCGTTACTAACATGCAACGTAGTCTAATCATGCCGTCTCTTCTGTCCCAGCACCAGTTGCACTCTCAGCGTCACCGCCGCCTTGCAGCGGTGTACCTGTTCTACTTGCACCACCACTCTTTGGAGGACCTCTAGGCGGCCCGCCAGCCTTGGGCGGAGGAGGCACACCGCTGCCTTTTGTCGGTGCATAGTCTTGCTCCAGACTCTTCTGCTCGCCTTCTTTGAAGTAGTCATCCAGTCCACCGCCACCAGTCGCCGGACTGGCCACTTGGTGCGCTCTGCCCTTCTTTTTAGGCGGTGGTGCGGTACCTTGGGGAGGAGGCGACTTGGCCGGTAGCGCCATGTTGGCTGGGACGAAGAGCTCAGCTGGTGCACCCGACTGAGCAGGAATGCCCACGGAAGACACCAAGGGACGTTTTTCGTCCAACGACGTAGTTCCACTAGCATCGCCTGCCGAGAAGAAGGTTTCCCCAGGAGCTGGCGGAGGCTCATCTAGACCGGCTGGAATACGATGCAGCGCACCGAACCCGAGGACGCAACCCAGTGCTCCCTCACCGCCCCAGTTTCGCGTCGGCGTGATAGTAACGGGTCGGGTCACGTTGTACTCGTGGTTGTAAACATAGAGTCTCAACGGCCTGTTTAGAAAGTCTTCAACAAGCTCCCCGAGTCCAGACTCGCCGCGTACGAGACCCTCGGGGCTGCCAATGACGTAGTCACCGTAGGGAAGTAGTCCTGCGGCATCTGCGGGCGAGTTCGGGGCTACATCCAGGATATGCCAGACATCTTCTGCAACGGCGAGCGGTGACCATTGCAGGGCAATTCCTAGCGTGGGTTGATCTGCTGGGATCTGAAGATAGACTTCGCGAATCTTCTGGCCCTACGAACGGCTTAGTTAGATTCCCGTAATTTGGAAATCAAAATAAATAGACGAATAAAAAAAACAATCAAAACAAAAAGCTTATCTATGACAGCCGGTTGGCGTGTTCGGGACGTTTTTGATAAAATATGCTTTTGGAAAATGTCCGTTGCATAAAAGCAAAATCTCCCGTGAGGTACACAAATAGATATGACGCACTCAATGCGGCTTTAGGTACTTAGTCGACCAGAAAGAAGCACACAGACCCAAAGAGCCGCTGCCGCCGTTAATGAAACACCATGGTACGTACCTTTGCACTGAAAATGCCTAGGCTAATGGTTGATCCGGCGCAGTTCCGCACCTCCGTCGCAAAGAGATTGGGATCCGGATTATCCTGTGCAAGAAAATGACAGATTAGCAAATATACACATCCTAAAACACGGCTCCTTTAGACTACATCCATTTCTCATCCGACATTCCTCCTCTTCCCCTTCCCCTCCATACCTGCCTGCCCATCCCCTCTCTTCGCCGTCTTCCCCTTTTGCCCTTGCATGTGCTCTTTCTCTCCCATCTTCCTCTCATAATAATAAAAACTGCACTAAAAAGAATTTTAAAAAAAAAAAAAAACTCACGATAGTCCTCCCATTAATCCCAATCACAAAATCAAACCACGGTTCGAGCGGAATCTCCAGATTAGCGTTGCGCAGCACCTGGAACCCATACGCGCCATTCGTCGACGATTGGTGCTGCTGGCTGGCGTCGTCATGGAGGGGTGCCGCGTCGAGCCGCGATATGAAGCGGTTTAGGGCGCCGAAGACGGACATGCCTAGAGGAGCGTGTGTGTGATGCTATACTGCTATTTTGATTTGTAGAGGCGATGTGTGTGGAGTGGGGATTGGGGGAAAGTTTGAGTGTTAGATGGCTCGATATAACATGTGGCTTGACGCAAGCAAGGGGAATCGTGCTGGGTGAGACTAGTCTAGATACGGTAAGGTGGGCTCAGGATTGTTGCTTCTCACTATTTGTGGTCGGTCTACCTTTGCTGGTGTCTTTGACTACGGAACTTTGACTTTTTTTCTTTCTTTTTTCTTTTGCGAATTTTCATTACGTGGCCTCTGTGGTTACAGTACTCTTCGAGTAATAGGAGAAGATACCTGTTCTAAAGATGAGCGACAATGGAGACGAGAACGGCGTAGACCAGTGGTCCCGCGTCGAGCAATTCCCCGAACACCTCAAAAAGTATTATTTACCCCCCCGCCTCCCTCCCTTCCATATTCACCTATGACATGATCTCTGTAATAGAAAATAGAGAAGAAAAAACAAATAGTTCTGATAGTTGCACAGATACTGGTTCCAACGCTTCAAAATCTGGGAAAACTACGACCAAGGCATCTGGATGACTGAAGACGCCTGGTTCGGCGTAACCCCAGAACCCATAGCCAACAAGATAGCCGCGCACATTGCCGAGTCTGCACCCAAGGAAAAGACCGTCATTGTCGACGCGTTTGCGGGTGTAGGCGGTAATGCTATTGCACTTGCGCGCTCTGGTCGGTGGGAACGCGTGTTTGCGATTGAGAAAGATGCGAGGACGCTGAAGTGCGCAAAGCACAATGCTGAGATTTATGGGGTGAGCAACAAGATCTTCTGGCTGAATGCGGATTGCTTCGATGCGATCAACAGGTTTTCGGGTCAGAAGAATGTTGTGGTGTTTGCGAGTCCGCCGTGGGGAGGTTTGTAGTGATGACGCTGTTCTGGTTGATATGCAAGCTGATAGGTGCAGGGACCGAGTACGGTGCAGAGAATGTCTTTGATCTGACAAAGATGGAGCCGTACAATCTTGATAAGCTCTACAAAGCCTTCACCAAAGTGAGCAACGAAGTGGTATTGTATCTGCCGAGGACATCGGATCTCAATCAAATTGCCAGATATGGTCATGATGGTAAGAAGCTCGAGGTGGCACATTATGCTATGATGGGTGCTAGTAAGGTAAGTGAAAATGGCTTATTGCAATCTTAATAGAGATATTAATGGAGATAGGCTCTATGTGTGTATTTTGGAGACTTTGATTTCGAGATGGAGCAGGAAAATGAATAGACTGTTCACCAGACAAAGTGTCTCATAGCTTCCTATTCGACCCTACAGCTCTTCAATAATTGATAACTTCCCTGTCTAACCTGGGCTCAGTTTTCTGTCTGCACTGCTCCTATGTACCGACAACTATAAAAATTTGTCCCTTTTTGCGTGATGGAAATTAAATGCAGCGTCCCAGAACACCGTCGCTATGCATTTGAAAGAAAATTTTCTTCTTGAGAAGGGGAGAAAGAAAGAAAGAATAACATGTAACACGCTTCCTCAGCGTTTCACCACACCTTCTGTAGAATCCAAACAACCCAGCCCTGGATCAGGCAGATGGCAAGCATGATATTCCTTTCAGTACTTGCATATACACGAAGGAGCCGTCCTCATGACTGTTCCGCACATCATAGCGCAAATGCGCTTGTTGGAAAGGTGATACTTGTACCACATCTCTATCTCATACCAACGTGAACGCAAGGCTGACGAGTAACAGCGACATGGTGCCGTGATTACACCATCATGATAAGAGACAGACCCATAAAAGCGATCCTCAAGACAGGCCCCGATTTCAAGACGGCGAACCGGCAAAAGAAGGAGTGGCAGGAACAGTCGCAGTAGCCGGCGACGCAGCATTCGCATCCTTGAAAGTGTCATTTTGTTTCCTCTGGCCATTGAGGAGAGGACAAAGCCTAAAACGCTGTTAGCAAAAAACGATTCAATTGGTAAAAGAGAGGAAAGAATCTCAGAGAACTTCTTAACACACTTTTTGTTCGTCTTGATGTGGCCAACCTCGCCGCAGTTTGCGCACTTGCGAGGTGTTGCTCCGCCCTTTCCTGGTCCACCGGTTACGCCTCCTTCGCCTGTCTGCGATTTGTGTAGGCCCTTTGCCTTTTCGCGACCCTCGCGACGCTCTATGTTGCGGGCGAGACGGGCGAGTTCGGCTTTGAGCTTGATCTGCTGAGCCTTGTCTACTTCGGGGTCGCCGGTAGGCTTGATGTCTTCGATACGCATGTTCAACAGACGCTCTTGGCGCTTGTGCTTGATGTAAAGTTGAATGACAGCTGGATCTGTGATAATTTCCGTGACGTCCTCATACTCATCGTACTTGTTCTTGATGGTACGCGTGATCTTGAGCTTCTTGCCGCGGTTGTCTGCATTGCTATTGCGAGACATTTGCGACATTGTCTCGTCATCATGCCGCATTGTAGCTGGCGTTCCCATCTCAGAGCGTTGACGTGGGAGGTTGTTGCGAGGCACGGCTGTGTCGACATCGTCCTCGGTATCGGAAGGCGGATTCTGAGCAGACAAACTCTCCTTCTGCTTATTCCAAATACGCTTGATAGCGTTCTCATACATAACCTGCTGGCGTTGTACATTGTAGCTGTGACCGCCGAGTTCCTTCATCTTCTTGCTATCAAGTCGATCAGCTGCACTCTCACCAACATCCCTAAAGCCACCCTTCATCGAAACCTTGATGAAACTAAAACCCAAGCCTTGTCCAGTAGGGTCACCTTCTCCATGAAGCTCCAGCATAGCCTTACCGGCACATGCATTTAAGAAGTTCTTCGTGGTGTTCCATGGTGCCAACTTGACATCGGCGTTCTCATTGTCTGCTTCATCGTCATCATCACGGATCTCATTCGACTTGATACCGGCATCCTGAAGCTGCTTGTCACCAGCATGCATGGAGTCGATAAGACAAACGTCTTCCGGCTTTATCCAAGTGCGCAGAATTGGCTCTTCGGGCACAGTCTCGCCAGGCACAGGCTCCCAAGTACCAATGTCCTTTTGATACTTCATGATTTCGCGCATTCGAGAGCGATTTTGCGCAATTTCAGTACCGGGAAGATGCTGCTTGATCATTTCGTTACTAACCCAAGGTTGTCGCGCTCCTCTCTGTTGTCCCTTTCGGTACAATCTGAACGCCAGCATCTTGAGTCGCTTCTTCGATGCTTCAGTAACCTTTCGGGCATGTGTACCAGGCACTTCGACGGATGGGAACTGCTGACCAACCACCATAAGGTTGGGAATAGTTCGCATGTAGTATCTGGGGCCATTAACCCCAGTCCAGCTTCTGCTAACAAGGAAATCGGTCTCTTCAGGCTTGTGCTTGAACACTGGCGCTCTATACATGGCGTTATGGAGCGTCAGTACCTGCTGGCCTGGCTCAACTTGGCCAAACAGAGAGAAAGGACTCTTATCCTGCGGTAACAGAATCGAAGTTTCTCCAATTCCATCTTCCGGCTTCGGACGTGCCGTATCTTCCATGTCTTTCCGCCGGTAGTAATTAAGGATCTTGATACCCATGCCAAAGTTGGACAAAGTGGTAGGGTATTCCTCGGAGTATTCGGCGAGGAGGAGATCTGAGTTGTCACCAATGTTGAGATCTTCTGCGGTGGCGAAGGCCTCGGATGGCTTGAGGTTTTTCTTGTGCTTCCTCTTGACAGACTTGAGTGACGAGATACTGGCTCGCTCACCAGGCTTGAATGTGATGGTGGGCCGATGGAAAGATCGAAGCTCGCGATCGGAAAGTGCAACCTTGTAGAAAGGGTACTGCAACTTCAGTGCGGGCAGACTGTGCTCAACATTCATGTGTCCAATGGTACTACGGACCTTCTGTTGGCTGCTCTCCTTGAGCGCGTCGTATGCCTCATCATTGGAAATATTGTAGCGCTTGAACATGGGGTTCGCAAGACTACCGCGACTATCACGCTTGAGTCCTAGACCCAACGTTCGAGGCTTTGGAGGCTCTGCACTCGGCTGCTGTACATCCAACAGGAGATGAGGGTCGTTCATGTCCAAGAGAATCTTCTTTGACAGCTTCGCCGTCTCCAGCTCAGGATCGTCCCAAGTGGGCAAATCCATGTGATCGTACACAGAAAATTGAATGGGCTGGTCGTGGTCTCCGAGCCTGCGTTTCTTGTTCGGTGACTGCCCAGCATTGATACTATCAGGTGGAGTTGGTGCTTGGCCATTCTCGGAAAGGATTGCAGCGTTTGAGTCATCTGGAACTTCCCAGTCCTCACAGGCAATTCTGAGATTACTCCATGATACATTGCCAATCATTTCGTGATCGTCAATTGTATCGAAGTGATCGAAATCCATCTGCTCGTTCCCATCACCGTCATCTTCTGTAGTGCTCGTGATCTGTATGATTCCGCCTTGCTCCTCCTCTTGTTGCCGACCGGACTTGGTGGTGGTTGTGGGATGTAATCGAAAACTCTTCTCTTGGTCCGGTGCGATATCCAGAGTAAGTTTGTTCATTTGGAAAGGCCTTGGTGCCTTTGGCGGGATTTTTGGGATGTAGAAGGCGCGTTTTCGTGGTACAAGGCTGAAGAAACGTGGCGGTTTGTCTGCCTCGAAGTTGGGCCAAATCTTCTCAAATTCCTCTCTTGATGTCTTTTTAGGTGCATCCGCCATCTCGTCCTTCTTGCGAAGAGACTGGGCGAACAGGGCCAACTGCTCGCGCACTTCTGGGTCTTCCTCCTCGTCCTCTTCCTCCTGAGTCGCCGTCTGTGCATTGGTGCGGTTGCTCTGTTGCGATTTGTCCTGACTAGCCATGTTGAAGCCTTCTTGGACTAGATCCTCGATGGATGTAAGTGGGTCGTCTTTGTGTTGTGTGTTTTCCCGTGTAGGATCTGAATGATCTGGGTCATCACCGAAAAGGTCGTCCTGTGCATCGCCATCGCCAAACAAATCATCCATATCCACATCGCCGTTATCGAGTGTGCCACCGGAGTCCTGCATTGTGGTTCCGCTAAAGTTGATACCAGCGTCGTCGCCTCCACCCGACTCAAACTCTTCTTCAGGCAGATCATCATCGCCAATATCCTCGTAATCCACGGCATCATCCGCCTTTTCGCCAGCCTCAAGTGGACGCGAAGCGATGCCACTTAGCAAGTCTTCTTCGCCTTCCGCCGCCCCCATCTGCGCCTGGCGCATGATTCTTGCGAAGTCTTCATCCTCCGCTGCGTCGCTGTGGCTGCTCGCCGTTGGGTTGTGCTCGTCGTCCATGGTCGCGTGCGATGTGGGCGTCTTCAAAGGGTGAAGTCAGACTGTATTAAGTTCGCTATCGATTCTGGGATAATTGCAGCCGCGCAAATTATGGGCAAAAGCGAAGTATGCACCGCGGGGCTGGTGAAGGACCGAGGGGTGCGCGTACCGTCATTCACGCTGCCACCGCGCTCGAAATCCAGTGACACGTGGTAAAGGCAATCGGTCCGGTTGGTGCACTCGTCGCGACCGTGGTTCCGATGTATCTCCTGGTGATTTCGATCCGCCGCAGTCGGTGTGGCCAACGGGCTCGTTGTCGTGTGCAACTGATGGAGGAGTCGCGGTTCACAAGTTCGAAGGCCGCGGCGAATAGGTCCGTGCGTCGTTCAATGAGCGGTTCGATTAGCGTGAAGGTTCGCGGACATCAACTTCCGCTCCGCATGATATAATACAATTAACAAACAATCGCGACGACAATCTGAATGTTATTGTCATATTCAACAAACATCTAATAGGTAATGTCATCCAAGAAAGACAACATCAAAATTGCATCAGTCGTCAAGTACCAAGCCGTGGACATCTCCTTATGGTATCGTAACCCCAACTTGCTCTATACCAAACGCATCTCTCGTGATACCATTTCCCAAACACCCAAACGCCCATATTGAGAAGACATAACACTGCTATTCATTCCAATCATGCCTGGGCGTTGATATAATCCTTGTTCTCAATCGTAACACTCTTTGTCTGTCGCGTTGTTAGCTAGTGTTCAAGCCACCATAACTTTATCATCGTGTAACTTACCATGTGATTGACCTTGTAAACACCGACCAACCGACTTGCAAGTTCAAACATGTTGTTTCGGAGTGAAATGACTATGAACTGCGCGTTCTTGGTCCTCTCTTTGATGTAGCTGGCGACAATGCTCACATTTCGGAAATCCAGCGCGGCGTCAATCTCGTCCATAACGTACAACGGCGTGGGCTTATAATGGTGCAGTGCGAATACCAAGGCAAGGGATGACAGCGTCTTCTCTCCGCCAGACAAGTTGCTAATGTTCTTCCAAGACTTCTTAGGAGGCATGACGGAGAAACGGATACCTTCAGAAAAGGCATCGAGCGTATCTTCGTACTCAAGTTCGGCGTTGCCACCCATGGTAATCATTTGGTACATCTCCTTGAGGCGTGCTGTGATGATGTCAAAGCCTTCCTTGAAGCCCTCTTTGCGTAGGCGTCGAAGCTCTTCGCATTTATGCTTTGCAGCATCACGTGCACTGACAGCAGTTGCCAGGTCTGCTGAGCGTGCAGCGTGCTCTTCCACACGCTTGCGGTATTCGGCGAGAACAGACAGATCAACTTGTGTAGACTCGTTCTTCTTCTCCAGGTGCGCAATTTGCTCCTTGAGAGTAGCCTTGTCCATATCCTGGAGTTCGTCTTTGCTATAGGAAGGTAGACCTTCGCCGCCACTGCCGCCTTCTTGCTCTTCGCCTAGGTCTGTTGCACTGTTGTACGCAAGCTTGCTCAACTTGTCTTGGAAGTAGGCCTGCTTCTTTTGGAACTCATGAAGAGTCTTTTGTCCTTCTTCGAGCTTGTTGCGCATCTCGATCTCGACAGCACGTGTCTCGTTGAGTTCGGTCATCTTCTCATTAAGCTCATTCTTGACGACCTGTAACTCTTCCTTTCTGGTCTCAAGCTCCTCTTGTGCCTCTTCAGCTTGTTGTCGTATTCCAGAGACATCCTGTTGTTGAGAGGCCATATCTCCCTCAACCTTCTCGGCTTCGGCGGCAAGCTTCTCCAGTTCCTTGACGGCGTCGTTGTGCGCCTTCTCGTGCTTGGCGCGTTGCTTCTCTTCTTTCGATTTGGAAACCTCAGCGTTTGAAGCCTGCTCGGTAAGCGTATCGATCTGACCCTTCAGACCATCAACCTTGGCCTTTTGACTTCGTAGCTTGACACCTCCAATCTCCATAATCTTGTCTTGTAGGGCCTTGATCTCTGCCTCAATGTCTTCTGTCTCGGCGCCGAGCTTGGAAACCTCCTTCTCCATCGAAGCAATGCTCTTCTCTAGTGATGATATGCGACCCTTATCCGTCTTAGTAGACGCTTGCTCGCTGCCCAGCTCCTTGATGCGGCGTTGGCAGTCGAGAATGTTGCGGTCGAAACTCTCTAACTCGAGTGCAAGCTTTTGTGCCTTGGTGTCCAGCTCGGGAATTTGCTGATTGAGATCTCGCAGTCTTGTCTCTAGCTCACGCAGCTCTTGCTGGAACTCTGTGAAGGTCTGCTCCAGTGTATCTCGATCCTGTTCAAGCTTGGCAACTTGGTCCCTTGAGACATCTGACGCAAGCTTAGATGACATTTTGCCCTTTACCACACGACTTCCACCACCACTCATGGTTCCTGCTGTGTCGATGAGCTTGCCATCCAGGGTAACAACTCGCCATCGCTTGGCACCATACGCAATACGCTCAGCCTGATCCAGGTCCTCAGCTACAAGCGTGTTTGTCATGACCTGGAAAAAGGCGGGCCTGAGTTTTTCATGCTTGGGTTTGACAAGGTCGAAGAGACGAGGTACGTTCTCTGGAGTTTGAACAGGCGACATGTCGCGCTTCGCAAGACGGTCCAGTAGGATGAAGTTAGCGCGACCAAGGTTGTTCTTTCGGAGGTATTCAATGCACTGCTGACCAGATTCCACAGTATCAACAACCATGTTGTCCAGCTGTGGACAGGCCGTCGATATGGCAACATCATACTTCTGATCGATGGTGCCCAGATTACCAAGACGACCATGAAAGCCATCAATACGTCCAGATTCCTTCAAGCGCATGAGGCCTGTCAAGACATTGCCCTGAGTCTGAGCAGAAGAAAGACTTGCACGAGCCTCGTCAGCCTTTGCTCTTGCTCCAGAAAGCTTCGATCTCAACAAAGGTTCTTTCTGCGTAACTTCTTCGAGCTTGGCTTGCGTTTTCTGTATGTCCTTCTCCACTCGTTTCTTTTCAGCCTTGCATTCGTCAAGCTCTGCAGTCTTGGCTTGTTTGGCTTCCTCCAAGCCTTCAATCCTGGCTTCGACATCGGCGATACCCTTGGCACCCGCATTCTCGCGCTCGCGCATGATATCAAGCTCACTTTGCGCGACAGCAATGGCTGATTGCTTCTCGTTGATCTTCGCTTTCCAAGGCTCCAAGGACTTTTGCTTTGCTGCGATCTCGTCCGAAAGACCCTGCGTCTTGCCTGCCAAGCTCTTTCGAATAGCCTCGAGTTCCTTCTCTTCAACCTTCATGTTCTCCTCGAGTTCAGCGATCTCTTCAGCATAGCGTTCGAGATCAGCAGAGTACTGCTTTGCGAGACTCTCCGCCTCCGAGCGGCCATAGTAGCTAGTTTCCTTGGTCTTTTCGAGTTTCTTTTGCTTGCCAGCTAGGAACTTTTTCTTCTCTTCGAACTTGACAGTCTCCTTGTCGATACGAGCCACTTCCTTCTGGAATTCCTGGTTCTTCTTTTCGAGTTGTTCGCACTCCTTCGAGCCCTTCTTGTACCGACGCTCGAGTTCCTTGATCTCTTCCTCGCTACCCTGATGTCTTTGGAGTTCCTCGTCTAGCTGAGCCTGCAGCTGAGTGACGGATTCCTGGGTGACCTGGATGTGATCATCAAACTCGGAAACGTAAATCTGGTAGAGGGTAGACTGCTTCGAGGCTAGCTCATTCTCGTCCCGGATATATGCTAGGGCTTTGTCTTTCTTCTCCTCTAGAGCGCCCTTTTCCTTTTCCACGTGTTGCACACGGTTGCTCTTCTCCCGGCAGACTTCGTTCAGGGTTTCGACTTCCACTTCAGACTCTGCAATTGGTGTCTTGTATTTGGACGTGCCAATGATATCTTCCAAGTACTCGAGAAGACCGTCATCGTGCTCACCCTGGGCCTTTGGTTTCATCTGTGCAATAGACTCGACCTCACCCTGGAGAATGAGAAAGCGCTTGTGGTCCAGATCAACTCCTCGATCCTTGAGTAGATTTGTGACAATAGTGAACGTCGACTCCTTCCTGTTGATGTAGTATTTGCTCGAATTGTTCTTGAAAGCCCTTCGCGAAATCACGAGCTGTGAGTCTGGGATAACCTCATGCCCGCCGTCAGGAAGATCTTTGACTTCCTGGAAGTGGACTTCGACCTCACAAAAGTCCAGGTTTGGAAAAGCAGCCGAATTGTGAATCAGGGCCGAGAGCTTGCTCTGTCTCATCTTGTTTGCGCGGAAACCAAAGACGAAAAGTAGCGAGTCAATGACATTGGACTTGCCTGAACCATTGGGTCCCACAACCGAAGAGAATGAGGCATGAAATGGACCCACTTCTTGCCGACCAGCATAACTCTTAAAGTTGTTTAGAACGAGCCAGGTGATCACTGTACGTTGCTTTGGTGGGGCAGGCTCATGTAAAGAGGGTATGGCAGCCGCCCGCCTCTTGACTACAATATCAATGGGTTCGAGCATAGTTTGCTGCGCGTTGGCATCTTCCAATCCTTTGGCCGGAGCTTGTGGTTCTTCTAGTTGCTGAGTCTCTACTTCAGGCTCTGGTATGGGGGTCTCCTCCTTCGCCTCTATTTGTGTAACTTCAGCAACGGGTTCGGGCTTTGCTTCCAGCTCTGTCTCTGGCTCAACCTCTGGCTGTGGTTCAGGAACAGGCGCTGCGTCAGTCATAATCGTATCGCCGTCAACGTCGGCTTGAGGCGAGCTAGGTGCGATTGTGGTCTCGGAGGCCTGCTCAGGCTCAGGGGATACAGAGGGGTCAGGTGTGAGTAACTGGGACGATTCCTCGACTGGCTCCACCGGAGCAACTGAAGCGCGAGGCTTCCGCCCACGCTTCTTGGGCATTGCCTTGGGAGGCGAAGAGGCCCTGGTGCTCTCCACTGCACGACTTGATGCTTGTGTAGGCTCCGCAGACTCGGTAATGCGAGGCCGCCGCCTTGTAGCTGGTTTGGGTGTTGCATCTTCGCCCTGGGCCACAGCCTTTTTTGGCCTCCCCCTCCCTCGTCCAGTCTTGAGTGGCGCAGGTGCTGGTGTGAATTCCTCCTCTTCCTCTTCCTTCACTTCCGGGGTTGGTGTCCCATTCTCCTCGCCATCTGATTCCTCAATGACAGGCGCCTTTCGACGTGTCGCAGCGGCGCGCGTCGACTTCCTGGGCGTCTCATAAGACATTGTCGGTGTCGCTGTGCGTGTATGTTAGTCGTGATATAGAGGCCGTGTGTCCCTCGGGTCTTCTGACTGATTGCTGCCCTGCGCCTTCCATTGTTTGTTTTCGAGGAAACCACGCTAAGCACGGGTCAACCCCGCGGCCGCCCCACGCGTCCATTTGGCCTCAGGGACGTGAACCACATAGTCCGCCCCTTCAACAAGGGATATTTTGGCCATTGGTGGTCCACTATTACGTTTTTATAGATCATCGAGGATTGTAATCAATATTTGCTGGCTAGTTGGACGGAATAGGCATCATGACCCCGATGTCAACATGTCAACTTTGTGTAGGGCGCCGTAGGTGATACAGTAACAATGTCGGCCCCCACTACAGTGTTACTCGTGGTCGGCAGATGTATCTATCATGGCCTGATCAGCCTCAGCCTCTTCTCCTCAAATATTTTCATCTCAGTATCATCAAAAACATTGCCCTACTCTCTCTCACCATCCTGCTGCCCTGCCCCCATGGCATCTGCCCTGCAAAAGTTCAAGCTTGTCTTCTTCGTGCCTCCCTCAGCCTTGGGCGCTTGTAAGACTGCTGTTTTCAGCGCTGGTGCAGGACGCTACCCAGGTCCGGGTGGATATACTGAGGTATGCTTCTGTACTAGGGGTACCGGACAGTTCAGGCCTGGTGATGCTGCCAATCCAAATGTAAGTTGTGTTGGGCTTTCTATATACATGTGTAGAACCAAAGCAGAAGGCTGACAATGTTTGGGTAGATCGGGAAAGTTGGCGAGCTAGAAGAGGTTGATGAATATAGGGTAGAGACGCTGTGTCTGGGGCGTGACGCAGCCATCAAGGCTGTCGAAGCATTGAAGAAGTGAGTTCACTTATACAGTAAAGTACTAAATATTGACTGAGACAGAGCACATCCATATGAAGAGCCTGCATACGAGGTGTATAAAATTGAAGACATTTGAGAAGGTCGATATTTTGCACAGCACCAGTCTATCCCATATAGTAAAACTGGATTGATGTAGGGTGATAACGAGTTCTTTTCCTAAGCAATGTCCTGTAACACCTTTTTAATGACTGGCAAGTCTCTGTTCATATCCGTCATCCAGTTTGATATTGCGAAACGACATGCTGGCCTTCCTTCCCACGAAGTGCCCGAAACGTAAATCTTTCTTGTTGCCTTGATTTTGTCGACGAGTTGCTTGTTGACTTCCTCATCCTTTGCACGGAACAGCACGATGATGAAAATTCCGCTCAGAATATCTTCGTGAGAAGCTTCTTTCTGGGGAAGAAGCTCGTACTGGCTGCTTTCCTGAATATATTGCGCGATTCCACGTGCCAATTGGATTTGGCGCTCAAGCATATCCCGGTATCCGTCCCTTCCATATGCCACCAAGCTCGCATACACCGGCAGAGCTCTGAAACGCCTAGAGTTCTCCAGGCCAATATTCAGTGGTGACATGATGGTATCGGGGCCGTTGCCAGAGACAAGATAGGCAGCGTTGGGATTTTGAAATACACGTTCAGCCATGGCACGGTGTCTAGAAAGAAAGAAGCCACAGTCATAGGGCACGTTGAGGAGTTTGTGTCCGTCACCGGTTATCGAATCTGCCAGTTCCAGACCGGTACATGCTTCTATGATGGAAGAGTGAGCGGGGGACGAAAGGATTCGACCGAAAAGACCGAATGCGCCGTCGGCATGTATCCATGCCCCATGCATGTCACACAGTTTGCGAATTTCTTGCATCTCTTCTAGCCCTGATGTAGCGAAGACACCTGTGTTGACTTCCGAAGCTGACACCACGACGATTGATGCGGCACCCGGTAGTTCCAATGACTTTTTGAGTAGCTGCATGTCGAATTTGTGCGGTGCGTCTGAGCGACCTAGGCACTTGACACTTGCTCGCCCAAGCCCCAGGATGCTTGCAGCTTTGCTTAACGATGAGTGTGGTACAGTAGTCAAGATTTGGATGTCGTCTATGCCAGCTCTGCGCATAGCTTCTACGATACCAACTTCGCCAACGCTGTTCTCAGCATCGGTACGGTGTGCGGAAGCTTCAGCAATCACATATTCCCGTCCACAAGCGAGGCCTAAAACATTGGCTGCTGTAGCACCCGTAGTAAAGATCCGATGGGGCCATTGCGAGGGCTCGAAGTTCAGCAGCTCGCAAAGCAAAGACAGTGCCCGATCCTCCACGTCTGTGGCGATGGTCTCATTGGGTAAGTGCACTTGCACGTTCTGATCGAATGCTGTGACCAAATTGTCGGCAAGGACCGCTGCCTGGTTGGTTCCACCAGTTACGAAGCCGTAGTAGTTAGGGGAGCGAGAAGAGGCGTTGAATGCTGGGACTAGGTCTTGGCGTAGGTGCCGTATGCTTTCTTCAAGACCTACCCCCTTAGTGGGAAGATGGGTTTGGAGCTTGGAACGAGCACTGCTCAATGTATCGCCAGATGGAAGGACGTCCTCAGGTGGTGGCTGCACGTGTATTTTTGCAATCTCTACAGCGAGCTGATTGAATATTTCCTGGCTTTGGACTTCCATGGTGCAGGGCTGGCGTTGCTTGCAAACAATCTCTGTGATGGCGGTGGGGTTGCGGCGTGCCTAAGAAACGAACTATGCTGCCTACCGTGGGGTGAAGACGTGAGTGGTACATGAACACATGACTCTTACTACGACGGTTCTTTGAATCCGAAGGATGCCTAATTCCGATTAAGGCCAGCTTACGAGACTACTGGAAGCAATTCATGGCTCTGCAAGTAACACTCTAACGGCATACATCCGGGAATTGTAAGGATGCGGGCGAATGTCAAAGGTTGCCGAGACCAAAGCCGTGATGGTGCCATTGTTGTCCATGGTAATAGAGAATGCTAGATCCTAGTTTGAGGTGACGCCCGCACGTGATTTGGCGCTAGCGCGGCGCGTGTTGCGGACTTAGCACAACACGGTCAAGGGTGCGGATAGTGATGTCGCCACACCACGCCCGTTAAAACGTGACGCTGCTGTGGATGCACGTGTAAAACATCAATGCGGAACCCCATACCGACGATGCGACGCTCTCATGCCTCGGAACAATCTTAGTAAACACCTCCAGTGGTTGGTTAACGAGAAGCCCTTTATTCCTCCCGCGTCATCACTCGTGGCATACGAAGCCAGCGCTGAGCCTACGAGTTCGGCAACAATCTCACCGCAATATTCTTCGCACTCGGACGCGCAAACGACATACAATGAACCCCAGCCTGTCTCTGTGTCAGTGCCCCAATCAGCACCTCAAACTGCTAGACCCGTCCTACCCCGCAGTCTCGCTCCAACGAGGGCAATCGATATACACAACCCTCCAGAGGCTGAGGGCACGACCTCGGATATGGCAAGACTGAGGGCTACGCCGGCAAGCGGGAAACCCAGACTTGTAGTAGCAGGCTTACCAGAACATGTATCGTACTCAGCGTCCCCAAGCAGGGCAAGGAATGAGAGGAACAACGCAGCAGAGCCGGGAAGGGTCAGTTTAGAAAGCACTCAAGATCGACCGATAACCTCGAGGAATATCAACGGACACATGGAAGTGCCCGCTTCACAGTATGGCACTGCTGGAATGAGTCGCATGGAGCCGATTGATGTTGACTCCATTGATCTTACTGGAGATGATGCGATTCCCTCTTCGCCAGTTCCAATGCGCACCCCCAAAGGACGAAAACGGAAGAGCGATGAGTTTGAGGCAGACCTCCGGCACGCTAAGTCTCCTAGGTCGACTCGAGCAGCCCCTACGCTCGCCCCAGAGCCCGACGACGACGATGACGAGTTTCCTGATATCGATGACATGGTCATGGCTCCGGATAGTCCGCCTCCACCATATTCGATTGTTGCGGGGGGTGCAAAGTCTCCACCAGAGCAAGCTGCGGACGCTGAGGAAGACGATATGGAAGCAATGTTACAAATAGAAGAGGAGGAACGACGGATAGCAGAAGCAGAACAGGCGGCATCTACACAACCGCGTAAGCGCAAACCGTTGAGTCGTGTGCCTTCAGAAAATGCTCCAGCTCGCAAAATGGGAAAGCAGACTCGTAGCCCTGGCCCTAGCAAGACGAGGCCTTGCGCAGCCGAAGTTGCGGTACCTAAATCAGGTCATACGCGCGCGCTTACTACTAAGAGAGTTGAGCATGCGGTGATGGACTCTGAAGACGAAGATTTTGGCGTAATAGACGAGATGGACATTGATACTGAAGCTCGGACAAAATCACCTACGCCTCCGAGAAAAAAGCTACGTGAAAAGACGCCAGTGTCAAATCCAGCTGGGCCTGCGAGCCAGACACAGCTACCCATACGTTCTCCAGTGAAGGTCTTACGAAGTCCCAGTCCATACCAACCTGAGCAAGACTCCATTCCTACCCCAGCGAAGTCGCAATCCCCTAAGAAGAACACCAAATCTGCACCTCTGTTAGTATCCGCGCCCAGCAAGCCTATCCCAAGCTCGTCAGAATTATCAAAGGAAAAAAAGAGTGCCATCAAAATCACTATTGATGCATTCTTGAAAACTGAGGGTCAAAGGTTGCAAAGCCATCTCAACACGGCGAGTCTGGCATGGGAAGATGCCCGCGCTGCCTTTGTTGCCCATGTCTCCGAGCATGGTATACCCGACCCTAGCGAACAGGAAAGGATGGGACGTGCTCGCTCACGGAAGGATGCGGTAGAGCAGTTGATGGTCTTGAAGACCAAACATAGTGACCTTGTAGATGAGCGGCAAAAGGTGAAGCAAAAACTTGAAGACGACTTGGACATGGGTCAGTTTGACGCAGCAGATGGCGAAACTCTCAGCAGACTTTTTAAGATGATTGAGGACATCCAGATCCAGATGTATTATCTGCTGGACCTGGCGGCCATCAAGCAGCAACCCAAGTCTGTTGTAAAGGCAGAGTCGAAGAGCAGCCGCAACGTGGTCATCCAGTCGACTCAAACAAGCCCAGTGCGATCATTCCTGGATGATTCAAAGGAATCAGGACCAAATCGGATTCCTCAAACACAGTATCCTAAGCATAGCGACCCTGTTGTTGAAGAAGTGTTTACACCAACTCGCCGCATACGATTCGCCAAGGAACAGGTGGCTGCCTCGCCGCTACCTCATCCAAACCTGGGTGTTCGTTTCCGTACGGAAAATGGTGCGACAGGCATGCGCAACCACATGCCAAAAGATCGATCTCACCGCATACCTGAGACGCCAGAACACCGGCGTTCTCCGAAAAAGTCAAAGCCAGCAGCCCATCATGACACGCCTGATGATTTCGAAGACATGGAATTTGAGGAAGATGAGAGCCTGTTTACTCATCACATGGGTGAGCTCCACCAGCCCATTGAGCTAAGTGATGATGACGAGTTTGGTGCGGATGATGATGAATTGTTCCATGAAATCAACAACATCGAGAACCAGGTACCAGGCAACTTCAATTGGAAAGGTGAACGAACAGGAGCCAACCCGTCAACAAACACTCGCGAGGTATTCCGTGAAGCTTCCCCAAACAAAGCCGCGCCAAAACAAAATCAACAAGCATCACCGAAGAAGCTGCAACTGAACATGCCGGCCAAGAACCACCCTGGAATGAACTTTCCTTGGTCCCAAGATCTGAGGACGGCACTCATTCGTCGGTTCGGTCTGAGAGGTTTCCGGCCTGGGCAATTGGAGACCATTAACACCACGCTAGCTGGCGATCACTGCTTTGTGCTGATGCCTACCGGAGGAGGAAAGTCGCTCTGCTACCAGCTTCCCTCGGTTATCGCTTCAGGCAAGACACACGGGGTAACCCTAGTTGTTTCTCCGCTATTGAGTTTGATGGAAGACCAAGTTGAGGCTTGCAGACAGCGTTTCGGCATGCAGGCATTCCTCATCAACGGAGAGTCGACCGCAGCT